GGTAGGTTCCTTAGGCATATACTAGTCATTGTGCTTTTATACTTGTTTTGATTCATAATCATTCTAAAGCTATTCAGTATGAGAGACAGAAATTCTGCTCCATAAACCTGTACCAGCTTAAATACTGGAAGACATATTTTCTCTCACTCTCATTGTAATAGTTCTTACATCATTGTTACCTATAAACTATTAAGCTGTTATATAGAATACTGTATTAATTTTTAATCTAATGACTCACACAGTTACTAGATTTCAAATGACATCACACCATTTTATGGGCTAATAATATTTAATACAGATGGGGCAGCAAATTAGCCAGGCTGGCGCCACCTACTCCCTCCACTCAATTTCATTTCTCTCCAGCTACTAGGTCAGGAATCAGAATACACTAGATGGTTTGCAAGAACCTTGGAAGTGCAAGTCCGGGCACCAGCCAATCAGCGAAGAGTCATACATTCTGTGTTGCAGCGATTCCCGAGATTGAGCATTTAAAGCCGGAAAATAGAGAATGTTTGGTGAATTGTATCAAAGGGAAAGACGTTATTGCCCTTCTTCCTGCGGGATTTGGGAAAAGCTGAATATACCAGCAGGCTCCATTAGCGGCGCATTACATACGTCATGAGCAGCGATTGGTTCATTTAAAAAAGTACCCGCTTACCATTGAGGGAACAAATCCTAATGCTGCGAGGTCAGACAGTTTCCAGGAAAAGAAACCGGCTAATGAGTCATCTAACAACAAATATAAACATAGTTCAAATGCAAATTTCTGTTGAAACTTTCAACAGAACTTTCTGTTGAAAATTTCTGAAAAACTGGCTCTTGCCCCGCCACCTGAGAGTTACATTCTAAACTCGGAAAACCATCAGTAGACCTGGGTATGTTAAAAAAAAAATCAGCAAAGAATTGGAATTTAAGTTTTGTTTTTTTCTCTCAGGTTTTTCCAAATTTTATGCATTTACTGTATATCTGAAAATTCTGTGTATCCAACAGCTTTTCATCTTTTATCAGGTTTCTGTCATTTGAAGCAGAGCCAATAGATTTCTGGTCACCTTTGAGACAGAATGGATTAACCATACTGTTATAGTGTCGATGTATTGTGTCAATGGAGAGCTCGGAGTTCATAATGATGAATATAAGCACATATTAGCCGCTTGTGCATTAGCGTTGATTTTTCTTTAGACTACTGAAGCAACAAACCGTAAATGCTGGTTTATAATGTCAATGTTGCTAAAGGTCAACACAGCATTTACATCATTATTTATCATGTCTACATTTTCTTTGCACCACTGGGACATGTTTGGTTATTTTTGAATGATTTAAGATACATATGCAAACTAACTATTAAAATATTTCATGTTCAAGGTTATTTATTACAGCTCATGAATTTTTAACAATATTGTAGATTTAGAATTGGTTTTGTGGTTTAAATCTGCTTTAGAGTTATCATAAATTTGTTTCAATATTATCATTTATTGCGTAAATTTACTTCAGCAAAATATAGCGCTTCAAAATGTGTTATTCTGACTGGCCCGACCACTGTGACAAGTGTTTTTGGTTTTGGACATTTTTTGAGGGGCAACTTTCAAAGTTTTTCCCAGAACTTCTTATTGTAGGAAAAAAAAAGGGGGAAAAAAAGTCTAGCAGGGGAAAGACTGGCTGCTTAAACTTGTGTGCTACTCTGAGGAAAATAAGCAGATGACAGAAGCCTATAGATTTCATGTATCATAGTTAAAGGTGCACTGTGTAACATTTTTGGTGGAGGGTCCATCAAATGCTGTTCTCCATGGAGATGTGATTCCTTTGTCTGGAATGCTTCACAATGTGGCATTAAACCTTTCTATCATCAGGAAGACCAGACCAAGTTACAGGTCAGATCTGTGGAGAGGCGACCCCGCTCACAGTCAGAATGCCTGTTTTTCTGTGTATTTTTGAACCGTCTGTAATTGAATAAATGTAAAGTGTTTACTGCCATAATTCAGAACATTCCAAGCAGGGCAGTGACATCTCCATAGAAACAAGAAAGTGACTGACCCACAAGCAAAAAGTTACACAGTGCACCTTTAAATAAATAAATACATGGCATATTTTAAATCTACATAGACCACATCACTATCTTGCATGCGTGTTTGCATGGGAATAGAGTTCTTTGCAGCCAAAAGGGAAGAGTCTGTTTGTTGAAATGATAACAAGCTAAACACACAACACCATTAAAATAGGCTCAGATCACGTCCACATGTCAGCCAAGATACTTCTCCAGATACACTTGATTAGATATACAGCAAATGGTAACATGTAGTTCATGTGATAGTGGCCAAAACTCTCATGTCAGTTAATTCACTGAACTGAACAACTGAACTGAACAAAATGGATTCTTGTGAGCTTTAAGTCATGTTGTTAATTAATCAAAGACATACCCAGAATTGTGTTTTGTTTCTGTCACACATGTTTGAGTAACATTTTATTGTTAGTTTGCTTACATTTCCAAAGTGCAGAATGCTCTGTTCCACCTCGTGATGTCATGTAAAGGCAGTTTTCAAGTGAACAGCTACCTTTTATGTTTACTTCAGTAGAGATTGATATTTCCACAGTTGAAAACATCCAAATGATTCTAGTTGGAGGAGAGTGTTTTCTATTTGAGAGAATGGAACAAAACACAACTCCAGGTATGTTTGTGATGAGGAAAGAACATTATAACATAGGTCAGAAAATAGTAGCAACAAGGCCTGTCACAATAATCATAACATCCACTTATTGTTCAGTATTTGAAAGCTAGAACAATATATTTATGGGCTCAATATTTATCGTGAGTATTTTTTATTTGCAAAAGTGTGGAGAATTTGTTACTCAAACTTCTACATCTCAAATATTACATAGCATAACACATTAGCATATTACAACATAAATGACTTCTGTGGCTAATTATAGCTTTGTTTGGCTTTGTATTTGTTAATTTATTTATCTGTTGCAGTCCATGCCCTTTTAATGATACTGTATATTTATAGGTGCACTGTGTAACTTTTCTGTTGAAGGGTCTGTCAAATGCTTTTCTCCATGGAGATATTAGATTATACTTTGTTTGGAATGTTTCACAGTGTGGCATTAAACCTTTCTATCTTCATGGAGATCAAACCAGACCAGTTACAGGTTTTCGAGGCAGTTTTGAGCAATAAAACCACCTGTAACTGAATAAATGTAAGGTAGAGCTGTTTAATGCCATACTGTGAAACATTACGGACAGAACAATGACATTTATTTATTGGGAGTTTCAATATCATCGTTTATCGCAATATATCTTTATAGCAATCTATCGTGCTTCAAAATTTTTTATCGTGCCATGCCTATCCACCTCCAAAAGCACCAGGGGACTTCCAGGTCTCCCAAATGCTAATGTTAACCCTGAGCCCACAGCGTATTCCCTGGGCTGCTCTCATTGTGGGATATGACAGCTTTGAACTTTCCAAGAGTCCAGGTAATAACAGGCCGTAGTTAAGGTTAACTACTGGGCAGAAGGAAACAAAATGTCCTGTAATGACAGTGAGAGCATCTGAGGCCATCTGAGACAATAATCCATAGTGTAAAAAGGCTAAAAGTTGGTTTATTTCTTAGTAGCAAAGAAATAGGCAGTGATGCTTTTGAACAAACATCTAAAGCCCTGAAAGGACACACTCTTTTTACTTTCATGGAGACCAAATCACTAGTCAATCAAGCATCAATTTAAGGCAAAACTATTTAATGTCATACTGTGAAACATTCCAGGTGGAGCAATGAAACAAGGAGGTGACAGACATACCAAAACATTACATAGTGCTTTGTTAATAATAAACAATAAACAAGTCAAATTAACCATATTGAAAATTTGATTCAAAAAATAACATTCAATGAAATAAAGTGTACAGTATAGTAGAGATTTTTTCCAACTTCTGCAAACACTATATTTACTAACAACTCTGATCTTAGTATAGCACTTTCAATAGTTATTATATTACTGTACACACTGACTAAGGCACAGTCCAAGGAAGAGGCAGCTGACCTTTTGCGTGGACTCAACAGGGAAATGTGTAATGCAGTGTTGGTGAACAGAACATAAGTCATAACAACCTACGCATGTGTTATTATTGAACTGTTTCTTGTTCATATTAATCAATACTGACCAACTCTGATCTATTTAAAACACAGGAAATAAACATGACACTTTATCCAGGACTAAAATAGGCCTAATACTTGCTTCAGAAGTTGACTACACATTATTTGTCTTACAGAGTTAGATTTTACTCCAGGTTGCAAACAAACGAGTGAAACTGAATTTCAGGAGTTGTTATGCTCTGTTGTCATAGAGAATATTGGGTAATAGTTAAATGTTTTTCATTCAAGGATTTAGTGATGGTCATGTGGGCGGTCTCCATGACAACCCAGCAAAGGCTGTTGCATGATGAAGTTGGTCACCTGTAGAATACTATCAATTTTCCTTATGGGCCTATTGGCACCTATGTCTACCAGTCATTTCAACAGTATTGATAAAGGCAGCCCTGGTGCACAGAAGTCAATCAATAGTGACGGCTGAGCGGGATGCAGATGGGAATCCTACTGTCATTGGGTGTTATCAATAGTAGACTGCCATGGGGAGTCCCCTGCGTCCTTTCCCTTTATGTAAATACGAGTAAAATACATACGCAGTAAGATAACCTCTAACTATTGTTGGCATAGAACATGCGTCAAGCATGTACATCCGATTTGTTTGACAAAGCTTCACTGGCGACACAACAAAATGCGCCTATCCTCATCCTGCATTCCTTTCGTGTCACGCATTTAGAGAAAGGTGTTTGTCGACAAAAACACATCAGCTGCCATTAAACCATGCGCAGGGCAATCCTCGGCTTTCCCCGAGAAAGCCACAGGGGACACGGAGGGGGAGTCGGAGAGGGAGATGGAGGGGGAGACAGGGCTAAACGCTGTACATGCGTAAATACAGTAAATGGGGAGACACTCCGGATGGGGCTTACCTGTGACGGCCACATTCGCAGCTTCAGACGAATGGCTGGGTAGATCATTCGAGTAAGTGCACTCCAAGCCCAGTACCGCATAGATGACGAGTCCACGTAGCAGTATGTTCACCACCGTGTGGATGTAACTCATGATGGAAAAGAACAAAAATCTAGAAAAATCCAATCCGTGGAGGTGGGGAGATGGGTTCTGGGCACCCACGAATAATATGATTGTGTCAGTCTTCTCAGCAAGTCAAAAATGTCTTACTGGGCAAAGATTATGAAATACTAGCGAACAAATAATGCAGCAACTTAAAAACGCAGTTACAATTAAATGATTAGAAATAAATCTTGGCACAAAACCGCACAGGAGCGTGAAAGATGCCTACGAAATAATAGTTCATCGTGGGTCATTGGCAAGGCAAACTAGTTTGAAAGAAGACCCCGGTATAAAAACTAATAGCTTCTAATCAGCATTGCTGGCTATTTGAAAGGGGCGCCTGCTGCTAGATGATGGACAAATCCCCCATGCCGCTTATCTACCGCGTTAGAAATAAGAAACGACAAATATATATGTGGAGGAAAACACAAGCTACGTGTGATGAATGCAAACGGCTTGGCAAGAATGCAGCCCGGTGTAGAGGAATTCCCTGTCCAAAACAAAGCATACAAAAACGACACTAAAATCCCTTGACGCGCTTCAAAATTGAACAAGTGCGCTGTTAAATCCTTACGTAGGCCTGTTTGCTGGCTGGGAACTGTCTCTGTACTTCCACGTACAGTGTACAAACACACACCACAGCCTCAGCATATTGAAGAAGTGTCTCCTCGGTCCGCCTCCTCTTCACATGATAGTAACAAATCCAGTCGCTTCATGAAAGAAAAAAACACGTCTTCCACAGTTCCCTCTTAATCCTTCTGCGACCTACATGAGTCAGACGGCACATCGGCGTACTTTCTAAATGAAGTTAGGGGAGAGGGGCAGCTCGGGGTGATACAGGATCCTCATGTCGTATCAGCTGCTCTTGCCCCGGCTGATGCAGACTGGCTGAAGAAAAAAAGCTACCGGGGGCGGAAGTCACTATGCAAAATGCTTTGACACCGGGAGGGGGACCGCCGAGGCTCTCGCTGCTCGTTCACCGACTTTCCCAGCGGGGTTTGTTGTGTCATGCTTTCAGGGTACACTCGTACATCGGCGGGGGATGCTTTTTGCTTCCACCCCAGTTAAGGGCTTCATGCTACACTTCTTCTTCCTTGAATTGTTTTACGCACGGCCAGACGTGCCACGATATTGCGCGTCGGAACACACAAAAGCTATTTCAAGAATACTGAAATTTAATATAAATACGTTTTTATGACAACGAAGATGTGATCATATGCATTGTTGTCTGCTTCCTCACTCTGTGGTACGTCTAAGTTTCTCCCCAAATCGGATTGGTCAGCCGGTCCCAACATGGCACCATATGATTGGTGGAATGACGCATCGCTCACTTTTGGTTTTAAAAGGACAAAGGCGCGAATATTCACGTTACACTGGGTTTGTTACCGTGTAACATAGGACCAGTATAACTGAAAAATTATTTAGTAGCCAGGGTCGGGTCGCGGGGGCAGCAGCCGCAACCCGGCCCCGGATAAGCGGAAGAAAATGGATGGATTTATTAGCCTTACATGCAGAACAAATAACGGAGAGTACAGAATTGATCAGAGATTAAATTTTAAAAGTGTCATTTGTAATAAAGAGGGAGGGGCAGGCATGTACAGTACATACAAATGCAAGGGTTAAACAGTTGTACTGGTATAAAACTTGAATTGGTTAAAATTTATATAATGAATACAGTATTGAAACTCAGTGAAATTTGGAAAGAAAAAAAAAAAGTTATTTTGTTGAAATGCCAGATTTTAACTTGAGACATAAGAAATGTCACCTCATTAAAACAGAATACAGAAAAAATGTAAAAACTACAGTGTACTATAAATACAAATTCTTAGGAATGACTAATGTAATCCTTTTACATTCACACATAAAAGTCTATTCCTTCTTGAAGGGAGGTAAATAAGATGTAATCAACTGCATCATCGACATTGACATCTACATCATGAGTCAGTAATGAGTCAATACAACACTGATTCTAATGTGTTACGCATGGGTCAAATTCACTTAATGGACTGCATTTAATCTAGTATTTAAGATTTAATAAGACAGACTAATTAGAATAATCATAATAAAAAAATTAGTAGCAGCAATGGAAGAGGCAATAGCAGCAATATAAGTTGATTTCTGAAGACATTATGCTTTTATTTTATTTATTTATTTATTGTTTTAGTGCTAGTAATCTACAGCAGTTATACCTTTTGTTGTTTTGTCTGTACAGCACTTTAAAAAATGGTTTTGCTTTTAAAATGTGCTACATAAATAAGTGGATTTGGATTACATTTTTGCAGTTGACACTTTTTCAGACCATACCTTTTTTTTATTTTATTTTTTTTACATCTGGAATCAACTTAACAGCATTTGAGATGTTGGAGCCAATTGTAGGCTGAAACCCACAGTTGAGAGCAGGGGTCTCCAATGTTTTTCCTCCCGTGAGCTAACTTTACAAAACAAAAATGCCAGAGAGCTACTAGTTTGAGCAGTCACAAGAAATTAAGTATATTTAAGGGCCAAGGAGAGCTTAAACAGTTAGATAACTATAAAACCTAAACCATTATCCATTTATTAGTGCACAAATTTAGACATCAAAATAATAATGCACAATGCTAATAGGCATTTAAATGATCAAATTTTACTCATTCAGGACAATATATGTAATTCATGTTTTTGTCTGTCCTGAACTGTGTGAAGTAGGGTTGCATCGAAAATCAGATACTAATCAATACTTAAACTATATCGGAACAAGATGCTCATTTGAGCAAGTATCCATACTAAAAAAAGTCACATTAACAAGACAGAAATGAAAATGAATTAATAGCTTTAGAAAGATATTGATGGACGACTAATGGATTTCTTGTCTATATCTTTCTTGTCTTATCATTGTCTAAATAAAGTGTGTTTTTTCTATCAAGGGTATCACTGGAAATAGTATGTTTTGTGACAACACTAGTGTGAAGTGTCTTTGAGTATTATGAAAAGCACTATATTACTTTAATATTATTTATTTAACAAGCTAGAGGTGGCTTTGGGTCAAATTGCATCTTAAATAAAACAATATGTCAGTGATGGCTGCCCTCATGGTGTTAACTGAGCCAAGGCACACTGTAACTCACCATCCACTGGGGGCGCTGCAGCGTAGAAATATTACCCAGCAGGCCTTAGCTGTAACTAGAGGACGAGGTCTTCCGAAGCCAGTGGAGGTGAGGCTGATAAAACAGTCAACCATGGGAGTGCTGCTAAACAGGTGGTACAAGTAGCAGCCGCCATGTAAGAAGGAGACGAGCAGCAGAATTCGATACGCGCCCAGAGAGAGGGCAGTAGAGAGGGACACAGCAGATGTAAAGTGTGGGAGGAGGGCCACAAGGGCACAGCAGAAGCATGTTTCCAAGGCCACATCTCATTTCTCTTTCGCAGCTTCCTTCTGGTTTACTTCTCTCTTATGATAAATGGTCACAATTTTATATAGCATTTTTCCACCTTCAAGGCACTCCAAGCACTTTACATCAAGGAAACACTCACCCATTCATGCACTTTCATACACCAGTGTATGCAGACACTGAGGGCAAAATGGGGTGTCTTGTCCAAGGACACAATGACACCTTTTATTTTAGGGAGCTGGAATCGCACCTCCAACCTGTGGGTCAGTGGATCTGATCTTCCATTTTTTAGCTGTCAATCAAATATGCCATATTTAGTAGTGTCTCAAAGCTTTATATTGAGTTTATGTGGTTGCAACAAAGTACAGGGACAGCAGCAAGGGATGTAAAATAATCCTGAATTTTTGACATTATTAGGGACTAGGAAGGGCTCCTCTCCTCCTCTGCTTTTCTCTCTCCTCTGCTTCTCTCTCCTCACTGTGTCTCAGTTAATCGAGGAGAGGAATAAAAGAGTAGGAGGCAAGGAAAGAGAAATGAGATACAGCCACAGTGTAGGTATTTATCACTTACCCAAACTTCTGTCCCTACAAACACCTGAGGAGGTGAGCATCCAGCAAGCAGCACGCCCTGTCAAAATATTTACCCAGTCACACAAAACCCACAGAATCCACATGCGTGACAGAGAAGTTTCACATAAGTCACACAGAAAAAAGCAGGTCTAACAAGGAGTTAAGGAGCAAACTTTCAAAATGCAACCAAGTTCACAACTGAGAAGTTTTATTTAAATGTATGTTTTTGGCAGAACAGTTAAATGGGTGAAGAAGAACAATATTGGCTGATAATGTAAACACTGGGTTCAGGAAATGAGTGCCTAAAGTATATACCAAAATGTAACATTATTTAAATTTAAAAAAAAATATACATTTAAATACATTGTTTTATCCATTCCCAAGAATATTATACAGGCAGATTTGCATATGTGAATACAATAAATAAAATACTTAATTCAATATATAATGTATATATACTAATAGTACACAGATTTGGACCAATCAAATGTTTTGAAAACTAATATACTAATGCACATTATGGTAGTATCATAAATTACTCGCTTTCATTGCACTTATGGCTAAACAAATGTATCTTGACTAAATGTAATCCTCAACAACTAGTAAACTATGTCATGTCATATTACACAAATTGACTCTTGTGAACTTTAAGGCATGTTAGATGTTCTTAGCTCATCAAAAACATAACAACGCCAGGTATGTGCAGGTATGTAATGAGGAAACAACATTATAACATAGATGAGAAAATAGTGGAATAGGGGCCCTTTAACGACCAAAAGAGGTTTACTTGACAATCCCACTTATTTATAGATGCATAAGGTACATTTTGAACCCATTGCCTTACCATGCATGGAAGCTTACATTTTTAGGAGCAAAAGCATCATCTATTATGAAGCAGGGAATACATTTGAATCAATACTCAGCTTTAATTAAACACAACTGTAGCTCTCTAGCATGCTGCCATTACAATGACTGCTCCCTGCTACGTGCTAATGAGGCTCTCAGCTGATGCGAGCCCCTCTGTGCCTATCGGCTTTCCTGCACAGCATATGGCTAGTAACAGTTCGCTCAACTCCAGTGGCTATACTTACAAGCAGTATAATATCTAATGACACAAGACTGGCTATTCTATATATATGTATATATATATATATTTATATATGGGTGTATTAAAGTGCCACAAGTTGGACTACTCATTTGACTAAACCACAGTTAAGGTGCACTGTGAAACTTTTCTGGTGGAGACCTACTTAGAGGTCAGATATGTGGAGAGGCAACCCCACTCACAGTCAGAATATCTGTTTTTCAAGGTATTTTTGAGCTATAAAATCAAAAATGGAATAAATGTAAAGTACAGTTGTTTAATGCTATACTGTATACTATACATTCCAGGTAGAGCAATGACCCCCAACCAAAAAGTTAATCAATCATTAATATAGAACTCTCTAAAACTCTCAACTTCCTGTAATTTTCAGCAGATTTTTCAACTTTTCTTTACAACTTACTTCTTGATTTGTGTAAAACTGTAATTTATATTTATAACAGTTATAATACCACCAAATTAAGTCCAGGTTCATAATAGCCTGTTATAAGCACTTTAAAGGTGCACTATGTAACTTTCTCTTTGGGGATCCGTTGTTTCTATGGATATGTCCTTGCTCTGCCTAGAATGTTCCATAGTGTGACATTAAACAGCTCTCCCTTATATTTATTCAATCATAGGTGGTTTAATAGCTCAAAAATACCAAGAAAAACAAGCAGTCATACTGTGAGCTTGGTGCCTTCCCACAGATCTGAACTGTAAGTCGGTCTGGTTTGATTTCCATGAAGATAGAAATGTTTAAAGCCATAGTGTGAAACATTATGAGAAAGCAATAACATCTCCACAGAGAAAAGCATTTGACAGATCCTGCACCAAAAAAGTTACACAATGCACCTTTAAATGAGAATAGGATTTACTTCAAGGCATGTTAACATGGGGATGTTCTTCATAAATCTTCATAATTCCATGATATTTAATGAATTACCGACATATAAGAGGTATACAAGTGTGTTTAAAGGTGTGGCAATTGGCATTTTGGACTGTTCCTTGGTCCGTTCAGGTGGTATGCAGAGTACGTACCACAACTCATAAAACGACGTCCTCAGATTGCAGTGGCAAATAGAAAGATCTGGATGAGTGGCATGACCTTCAGTGTTGAAAGATCAGCGAGGACGGCCTGCAAAAAGTAAGAAGTCAGACTGGGTGGCTTTTCGCCACCCAGTCTGACCAAAACATTCCTGATTTCAACTTCAAAAGCGTTCAAAAAGGGTTGCTTTGATATACAGTTTTTAGTTGTTAGTTAGATGACTATGAGCAAAAACAGAAGATCACATCAAGTTCATTTATAAAGCAGATTTAAAACAACCAAAGCTTACCAAAGTGCTGAGCAACAACAATAATACAACAATCGCATAAAAAAATACAATTTTAATATAAGTGTAATATATGAGATAAGGTGTGTTTTTAGTTGAGAGATTGAAGATTTGCATAGTTTGTCAACCTTATTTTATCATAATTCAACATGTAAACCTTATAAGCTGTTGTGATTAGAATTAGGAATGCACCAGTTCATCTTAATTTTCAGATTTGATACCGATTCCGATACTACACCTTAAAGTGTCTGATTTTTTCATTCTCTGCAATGGTATCAGTTAATATCAGATATCAGCATTTATTTACTTAAAACATAAATAAAATAAGACAGAACTGATCCAAAATTGTAGCTGTTATTTATCTCTCAAGTAACTACTGTACAGCTTTATACAAATAAGGCCAACCACAACCAGTAAATGGCCTTATTATTAATGATCAATATATATTTCTAAACAGGATATCAACTGAAACAATATTTACAAACTGATATCTGAAGCAGCAAATGTTTCAGTATTGGTGCAGATATCTGATATCAGTATAAGATTGGTGCATCCCTAATTAGAAGGTAGATTAGTAAGTGGTAATTATTATTAGAGTTACTTATTCCCCCTTTAGTGGGATAAAGGTGTGGTATTCGTAGAAATAGTTTGGGGACAGTTGCGGCTTTCAGTTTCCTGTTTATAGGCGCCATATTGAGGACTTTTGGAGATTAAAAAAAATACATAAAAATTAGCAATAATAATCATGCAGGTTTCTTGAGAAGTACAATCACTGTATGAGACGTGCCAGCTCCCCCATATACCCCCTATACCGTTCTTATGGTCTAGGGGTTGAACTAATTTAGATCTGCTATCATGTTAAAGAAGAGGAGTACTATTTCAACACTGGACCTGTGCTTCTAAATATAAAATGAAGGAGCGCCATGTTATGATATCTCCCCTTCAGTTTGGGGCAGGTGGCGCATGAGCAAGCAAATAGTGCAGGCCAGCATCTTCGCCGCCCCCTGTCGTCCAAAAGCGTCATATTGTCGCTGACCCCGCCTCCCTCCCTTCCTTCGCTATACACCTGATCTCTCTCAAAATTAGGCAAGAGGGTCCGTGCAGCAAGTCATCATATGCGTTACACTTGGTTTTGGTCATACGATAGGTGCCACTTCGGTATGCTATGTGAGCAGGGTATAAAGTTCAGGCATGCTCAAATCATAAATTAGACGTTACTGTAATGAGTGGCAGGGGCCAATATGGATTTCTGTGATATTTCAAAGCTAGATTAATATGAAGCTAAATATTTGGTAGCTAGTTAATGATACTGACAGAGTTGGCAAGGCTTGGCGCATACTGGGGATCAAGTCTACTAAGGTGTCCAGTAAGTCGTTGGCCATATTTCCTTGAGACATGTGCGGGCAGGAGACGGGGTTACTGGCCCTGGCTGGTCATCAGGAGCTATTTTAGTCCTTCTAAGATTATGTGAGAGACAGTTTCAAGCTCACAAGTAAAATGTGAGATACCTCTGCTGATGCCAGTGACGTCACTTCCATCAAGTTCTCAGCTCTGAAGGCGAAAACGGCAGCTGCTAATACTGGAGCAGGCGGAGAAGAAGAAGTGAGATAGAATTTTAAACATGGGGAGGTTGGGTAATGTATGGTCAGGTGCTGTGATGTGTTTACCAGAGACTATTTCCAGGGAATCGTATCCAAGAATTCGGTCCCAGAGGAGCAGGAGCTGGTCTGTGGAGAGGTATCCGGAAAAGGCACGCACCATCCATTTAAAAGCTATCCGTAAACTAGGTCAAAAACAGCATGGAAGTTTAAAAAATTACAATCTATTAAGAGAAAGATTTATTTGAACAAATAATCATAAATCATTTTATATTTATTTGTTATTTATTTGTGTAGGGGCCGATACAATAAATGTAGATTAATTAAGATTAATTAACTAATCTGATGCAGGTATCACAGTGTTTATAGCCTAGACTAATTTGCCAGTCCCCAGAAAAGCTTTTAAACTAAAATATTAGATTTCAAAACGCTTCAGATTCATAAATGTGGGATATCTTTTGTGAAAGGTTGTTAAACTTATCTGGTATTCTATACGTTGTGGTTTTGTTATGTTACCACAAGATGGCAGTGTTACCTAAATAGTGTGTTTCACTTTTGAATGGATACAATGTAAATGTCCATAAACGTCCATTACTTATATATAATCCTATATAATGCAAGAAAATGTTTAAATTTAACTTAAAGGAACTCACGGCTGTGCTTCAATCTGTCGGAGATGGTAAAAGAGCTGTGGCAGGTGGGTCTGGAGCAGTCTCTCAAACTGCAGGCACAGAGACACTATACCCTGCAAGAGAAGCCATGTTTGTGAAAAAAAAAGAAAGCGTGTACTTCAAATATTTAAAAGCCCTGTATTACACAAAATTTATTCTTGTGAGCTTAAAGAAATGTTATAATGTTATCTCCTCAAAAATATACCTGGAGTTTAGTTTTGTTTCATTCACACATGTTTGAGTAACTTGTTATTATTAGTCTGTCTGCATCTCCAAAGGTCAAAATGTTCTGTTCCACCTTGTGAAATTAACAGCTACCTTTCACTTTTTGTTCAGTAGAGATTTGAAATTCAAGGGCTGACGTTATGCAAATGATTCTAGTGAAGGTGTATGGAGCTTAAACACAAAGTGGAGTGCTTCCTGTATGACACACGAGGTAGTTTTCCGTTTGACAGATGAATTCAGCCTAAATTTGCAGGGTTTGTGTGTTAAATATGAGTGAATGACAAAACGCAACTTAAGGTATGTAGATCAGGAAAGGAAATACCCTTTAACTAAACTGCACCTTTACTATGTCAGTGTATATTATTACTGAGTGAACTGTATGCCACTCTGTTCTTGTCCCACAAGTTTTCATTGTATATAAAAATAAATAAATAAATAACTTAACTGGGCAAATACACACTATTTTTTTTATAAAGCACATAAGACTAAAAATAACTAATTGTAAAAAAAAAAAGTCTTATCCTCAAAGGAGAGGTGATCATACCGAGGGTGAAGAGGAGATGGAGTGAAGTCTGAAGAAGTAGCGGATGTACATCTCCCTGAACACACTGTAGAGTTTGGATGGCTCATTGTACAAGTAACACAAAGGAGCCACTGTTCAGCAAAGAAAAGGAAAAAGCTGAATTATTATCACAGTTCCTTAACATTGCAAAATTCAGGTCTTTTATACAATGCATTACATGATAATAGGGCTAAACATTTAGTGATAGTGGTCTTATGCATTTGATAATATACTTTTTTGGCTACATTGTCAGATCGTAATGTAGTTCATATTTGTTTAAGATATGACTTTGTTTACCATTTAAAGACATAATACATCATAAAAATAGTAAGTCTCCATCAATTGTAATATTATGATCTTTGATCTGATATTATGAACTGTGAACTTTTAGCATATCACCCACCCCAAAACAAATTGCGGTAAATAAGCATGTTATTTTTTGTTAATGTAATACCCTTGAATCTAAAAATGCTAACTCTATTCACCAGAGGTCAGTAAATGAACAATTACTGGATTCTAAACCCAATTTGCTTATGAGGCAAATATCACACTTCCCTGTGAACAAGATTATATCTAATATGAGTCAGGAACATTTTGTGCGCAGGAGAACAGCATATAATGATATTAGAAAGAGAAAGTGAAATTTGTAATCTTCTAATGGGGCATCCCAATAAGCACTCTACATCTTGTATTCATTTTACCTCAGTTATTACGCAACCGTAATTTGAAATCTTAATAAAATGTACTTACCATACATTGAGAAACCATGGAAGGGGATCACACCTGTTGAAATATGAAATATAATGTCAGTTCAACAAAAATAAATTACACCCAGATCAATTTTTCACATTTGTAAGATAGTAAAAATCAGACACAGCACCTTCAATGTAATTTTTAAAAAATACACTGGCTTACCATTAGGAGGATACACCACAGCACACTCTTCCACTCCCATTTTCCCTGCAACGTGAACACAAAACTTAATAAAAATAAATAAAAAATCACTATTTGTACACATGTGAGCTGCAAGGTCAGTGGGGTGGACTGGCATTTGTACAGGATTGGCACAGTCTTGATAAGGACAATACAAAGACAGATGAGCCTTACCTTCAATATAGGATTTGGGCGGAGTAGCGCTGTTATACTTGAAGTGTTCCAAGACAGCTGTGTCACGAGAAAAACACAGCAAAACCTAGAGGAAAATGGTACAATGCATTCAGATAAGCCATATGAATGAATGAAAATAGCTATTAAAGGTCCCATATTATTTATTCACCCTTGTTTGAGTAACTGTTTAATATTAGTCTGTACACATCCCCCAATCTCAAAATGCTCTGTTCCACCTTCTGATGTCATGCATTGATAGTTTTCATGATAGCAGCTATTTTTTTAACCTTATGTTGAGTAGAGACTGGCAATTCCAGGACTGAAATTATCCAAATGATTCTAGTGAAGGTGTATGGAGTTTAAAAACACAGTAGAGTACTTCCTATATTATCTCAAAAGGTGGAATAGGGTGTTTTCTGTTTGGCTAAATATGCAAAGTCTGTGTGTTAAATATGTGTGAATTAAATAAAACACAACTCTAGCTATGTTTGTGATGAGGAAATAACATTATAACATAGATCCAAAAATAGCGTAATATGTGCCCTTTAAAACCAGCCAGGAGAACATGTGAACACAATGTATCTATGTAAGATTTCTGGAGTTTCTCAAGTGCTTTTTCTTTTCCCTCACGAGATGGATTTTGAAGTGGCTATCATTTTCCATTACTGCACCAAGTCTGTCCTTTTTGAGAAGCAGGTTCATTTCCACAGACCACTTATGACAGATAATATAGAGAGAAATTGTCCGCCCATGACCCAAAATGAGACTGGTGGCAGCTCTTATACCTGAATGTTGACGAGAAAAGAGCACTGGGTGAGCTACCATCTTACCATATGAAAAGCAGATTGTGTACTCTAGGCATTCACCAATCCATCTCATTGGTGATCTTCAAAATTACTGTGTGGTTCCTGAATGTTTATGACTATTAAAATATATTTTTAAAAAAATGTCATGTAATATGGATAGAAAATATATGGTTTAAGAAAGCAGTCCTCCACTAAGGCACTAGACTGGTTTTGCAAAAGTCAAGAATTGTGTAGATATTAAAGGTTAATGGGCCTATATTACACTAATTTCTGATTCTGATTCCTCATCATAAACATACCTGGAGTTTTGTTTTGTTTCATTCACGTTTAACACACAAATCCTGCATATTTAGGCTGAGCTCTTTTCTAAAACAGAAAACATTCGACCTTGTGATGTCATGTGGTAATACAGGAAGTGCTCCACTGTGTTTATTAATGCCATACATCTTCATTAGAATCATTTGGATGATTTCAGCTCTGGATTTGACAATGTCTACTGAACTAAAAATAAATGGTAGTTGTCATGAGGGCGCACTGTGAGTGGCCCTACAGTGCTGTAGTGTGAGGAGAAAAATTACTACGCTTCACACTTTGACACCACTAAAAACACCACATTACTTTACTATTGTTCCCTAGGGGTATGAAGCTAACTGAAAGCACTGCTCTGTTAGAAGCTCTCTTACTCAAGATAGACTTTAATACGAGTTTTGTTTTAACACAATATAACCAGAAAGAGCTGACTTGGCTAAAATTACAATAGGTGAGCTGATTTGTGCTGTCCCTCTCAAATAACATTACAGTTAGACGCTAGCTAGAAACACCTAAACAGGAATCCTTGTATTTATCAGAGGCTCCTGAAAATGTATAGTTTGAATCCATTTTGTATTTTTTTCTTGTGTTATCAGATCTTAAAACTTTTTTAAACTATGATTTCTAATGTGTGCATTGTGTCACCATGCTAACCACTGAACATTCCACCAATAGAGATGCATGTAGAACACCCCCATCGCGAAGTGACCGCAAAGTATCAATAGACCCATTACCACATTGTAACGTACCCAAGCGAAGAGTTAATAATCAAAATGCACTTCTCATAGTCATCAGTGGGCCATATCTGATAATTCACAATTGTCCATGTTCCAATTGGGAGTAGATTCTTTCACTGCTTAGAGGATTTGACATCTATAAATATTGACATAGATTGTGTTCCTGCCACCTCAATGGCATATTACATTATGGTCTTTCAGGCTGACATTTCCACAGCTGTCAAATAAACCTTGTGTATATAGACCCATCTGTCATGACCAACGCAAGATTATGGACACATACTATGTACATTACCAGTGAAAAGTTTGGACACACCCTCTCTTTCAATGTTTTTTTTTCTTCCACATGTTTAATACACAGAGAAGACATTAAATATATAAAGTAGATATATGGAATTATGTAGCAAAGGGAAAAAGGTAAACAACTTTATTACATTTTATTTTTATTATATTTTATATTCAAATCCTCAAAGTAGCCACCCTTTACTTTGTTGAAAAATATTAAGTTATTCAACTTTTTTTCTTTCTACTATATAATTCCATATCGCTTACTTCATATATTTGATGTCTTCCATATGTATATAAAATGTAGAAAATAGGCAAGGCAAGTTTATTTGTATATCACAACTTGTACTAATTAGTAGTAAGTAGGTAGTACAAAGTGCTTTACAGAATACAAAAGACATTAAAATCATAATACAAAAAAATAAAAATATAAGTAATTAAAATAAAACATTACAGCCACACGAACAGCTTAATTAGTAGTAAAAAATATATATATATTGAATGAAAAGGTTTTTGACTGGTGCTGGTATTGTACTTCTATTCAAAAAGTGATGCGTTGTGTTTGGACCTTGAGCAATGTGATGTTATCTCTGCATTAATGTTTCGCAACTAAGGTTCTTTTAGGTTTTGTTTCCTTGCAAAATATGAACAAGTCTAATCTCAAGGGGCAAGTTATTTCAGGAACTTTTGTGAGATGTATTTGGCACACAGAAGCAAACTGAGGATCTAAGTCTGGGCTAGTTATATTTTCAACAGTGCTGGATGAGGCTACTGTAAACAGGTTCAAGTCAGTGTCAAAGTCCTATATTACGCAAACTCTTGTGAGCTTTAAGCCATGTTACAATGTTGTTACCTTATCAAAAACATAACCACAGTTGTGTTTTGTTTTATGTTTCAGTAACACTGCAATGTAGTGGTAGTTTTCAAGTTTGCGGCTACCTTTTATCTTTTGTCCAGTAGAGATGGGCAATTCCAGGGCTGAAATTATCCAAATGGTTCTAGTGAAGGTGTATGGAGTTTACAAACACAGAGGAGTACTTCCTGTATTACCACATGACATCACAAGGTGGATGGAGTGTTTTCTTCAGAGAAGAACACAGCCTAAAGCATACAGGGTTTGTGTGTATGTTTTTGATCAGAAAACGGCATCAAAACATAGATCAGAAAATATGGATCAGCGTAATATGGGCCATTTGATGTTTCTTTGGCAGCTAATATTGTAAATGCACTAAAAATACTGTATTATGGTTGGCTCTGTGTAGATAAAGACACAGACAAATGTCCCAAAAGACCCATGTACCTGATAGAGGAAGTCTTCAAAGACGAAGTAATAGTCATCATTGCTGGCTGTGAGTTTAACATCCTGTAAGAATAGCACAGAACATGTTATCTCTAAAGCAGCCTTAACAACCAGAGTAATGAACCAGCTCCACTGTATTGTCAGCTCTGACCTTGTAGATGAGATTGTCCACCAACAGGTCATGATGAATGACACCGGCCTTCAGCTGCTCATAGTACATGACATCCTGAAAGACAATATATATATAGATATTTACAAGCAGTAGTGGATGAGTATTAAATACTATTATGTATTATTAAGCATTATTAAGTTTTATAACTTTTGTACTTCGTTACCTTCCACCACTGTTTACATCTACATATTGGCTTGGCACAATAACAAATTTTGAAGCGCAATATATTTCCATAGAGATATACTGAGATAAACGATAATGCTGAAACTAGTAGCACGATAATTCCAGTAAACCATATTTAAATAGACAGTGCCATTCAAAAGGCCTGAGCTGCAATAAATAAATAGCAGAATGAACCAATAATTAGCCATAGAAGTTAGTTATAAAATCCTCTACAGCTCAAATCTTGTTGTATTGCAACAAAAATGCCCCAATCGCTCAACTTTGAAAAGAAAATGTACACATTTCCTTTACTACTGAAACTTACTACATACTGAAATCCAAAGTAAATTGTCCCAGCTTTAATATACTGAATTGAGTCTGAGTACTATACTATGCAATACTGAGTAGATATAGTGATATGGAAATATCGTGACAAGTATATAAGTATACAAATAACCAAAAAGTGTGCTAAAAGTGCTAAATCATGCATATTAGAAAAAAATAAATGTCAAGGGCACAGCAACAGCACGTAATATAGCACATAATCAAGAGTTGAATACTTAATCCATTATTATGACCTGAAAATAGGACTGTCCAATTAATACAATTTTAATCAAGATTGAGATTAAGTCAGCGTGGAGTTTATAACATCCAGAGAGGTAAACAATGTGTCAGTAAAAGCCTGTGGTTTAGAGCAAATTTCAGACTTTAAAGTATAAAGTATGTGTTAAACGGCAAGTATTAAAAAGTCTGTATTATTAAAAGTCTGTAATGTTTATTCTCAGAAAATAAATAATGAAAGACTTTTTTTTAACTAATTACTTTTTAATAAGACACAATTAAATTGGAGTAGAAAAAGGAGATCACGTAAGATGAGAAAAAAAATTCTGATTGATTTCTCATATCACCCAACCCTAATTGAAAATATGTTTGTGTTATAGTTTACAGACAAACCAAGCTCTTTAGAATTATGTGTGTATAATTATAATAGGGCTTCACGATATGAGAAAAAAGATGTGATTTTCGATAACTACGCTTTGCAATGTGATGACAAAATTATTGCAATATCTTAAAATACTTTTGGAAGTGCTTTTAAATTAAAATAAAAAATGTGCCTTCATTTGTTAGTCAAACTGGATCAAAACCAAGACCAACCCAAGTCTAAGGAAAATGACAAAATCTGCCTTTTTCTCCATGTTAATTTCCAAAAACACTTTTCTGTAAAATGGGAAACTTTGTGGTGTCACAATATGTCAATTTTTTAACATTGATTATAGCTTCAGCCACTCTTTATCAATGTTTCCACAAAATATAGCGCAGCCTGAAATGATAGATCATAGCTCTAAATCTCATTAGAGGAGCAGTTATATGAAGCTTAAGCGGCATTCCTGACAGTAGTGACAGCAGAACTAAAGCAGTGCTAACAGATGGAGCCCGTGTTTCCGGCAGCATGGTTTAACTCCGAGTGTCTCCGGCTGTGTCAGACTGGTGGATACAGATGAGCAGAGGGAGAAAGAGGATGGAATGGAGAAAGTGTCCTATAAGACATGTGAGCTGTGGCCTGGAAGTGATCAGGGCTACACACACTCACACAGCTCTCCTGACAACACCAAATTTAAAGTTACACATCTGTATCAATCTGAATTGTTGATTTAAAGGTTCATTTCACTGGAGAGTTCGTCACCTGCTTGCCTTCATGGAGATGTTATTGCTTTGTCTAGAATGTTTCATGGTAGAGATTAAACCGATCTCATGGGAAACAACTGTAGGCTACATAACAGGTAAGATCTGTGGAGATGCAAATCTGTTCACAGAGAGAAATTTTGTATTTTTGAGCAGCAGAAACACCCGTAACAAGAAAATACAGCTCCCAAGTTACTTGTCTCTAGGGAGATGTTATTACATTACCTCCAATATTGCAGAGTATGGCATTAAAACTTTCAGTCTCCAAAGAAACAAGCAGGAGACACCACCAGGCTAATTTATAAATGAGATCTGTGAAGAGGCGACCCCATTCACAGTCAGAATGCATGTTTTTAAAGGTATTTTTGAGCAATAAAAACACTCATAATGTCACGCCCCTGTCTGAGTTCCTGAGTCTTCTGTGTGTGGACGTGGGCGGAGTCTGCTGGGAGCACGTGCATCCCATCTGCAATCAAGCCTGCTACAAAGGCCCAGCTCTCCTGCCAGACTCTGCCAGATTGTTTCGTCTACCGGCTCCTCATCTCTCCACCGCCTATCCTCCCTGGTTAATAAACCCTTGTTACTTTTGCACTTTGTCCTTGTTTTGAGTCCTTTTTTGGATCCACTCCAGTGACACTTAACACATAATTGAATAAATGCATCTTAAATAAGTATAAAACCATATTGTGGAAAAGCCCAGTGAGGTTCATTTGGTCTTCCAATAATTTATGTTATTAGGTTCTTTTCTCAGACTATGAGTTTGTTTTCATACCTGACAGTGTCGACTGCTCACTAGCGATCTTGGTCACGTGGTGTTGCTCAGATGTGTCGTGTCATCTGATTTATATAGTTTTGGCGCTGTCTCCCTACACGAGGAGGCAGGATGACGGCGCCATCTGCAGGAAGACCACTAGTGAGTGGTCAAAACTGTCAGGTATGAAAACAAACTCTTGGTCTGAAAAAATAACCTACCAGTCGTAACACATATCATGTACACTTACAGGCAAAGCAATATCATCTCCATGGTAGCGGACCCGCAACCTGAAAAGTTACGCAAGTGCACCTTAAACACTATCATGTCCCTAGGCACGGGGAACTCCACTGTACTCTGAACCAGACCAGCACAAGCACCAGTAGCAGAAGCAGATGGTGACTCTGTTTGGGTCCACTGTGCTAAAACTGCACCATTTGATTATGTTAGTGGTAGAATTTATATTCTCAGGACAGGCTACAACAAGCAGAGATAAACAGCCCTTCAGGAGAATCACACACACTAGTTACATAACTGTTAAACCTTGAGTCTGAATAAATTATAGTGTCTACTTACTCATTTGAAGTATCCAAGACTAGAAGCAACTAGAACAAGAATGTTTAATTGCCCAATGGCATGCATCAAAAGAAATTTCTAATGGTGAAAATATTTACCTTAAAGGGCCCATATTACACTATTTTCCAATTTGTTATAATGTTATTTTCTTATCTCAAACATACCTGGAGTTGTGTTTCTTTTCAATCACACATTTAACACACAAATCCTGCATATTTAGCCTGAGTTCTTCTCTCAAACAGAAAATACTCTGTTTGACCTTGTGATGGCATGTGGTGATACAGGAAGTGCTCTAGTGAATTTTTTAACCCCATAGACCTTCATTAGAATTATTTAGATTTTAACTCTGTAACTTCCAATCTCTACAGAAGTAAAGGTAAAAGGTGAAACTTGAAAACTACTGCTTCATGACATCACAAGGTGGAACAGAGCATTTTGAGATTTAGAGATGCAGACAGATTAATAAATCAAGATTACTCAAACATCAGGTAACAGCATTTTAACATGACTTGAAGTCACTTAAAGAGTACTTTTTGTGTGATAAGTGACCTTTAACAAGCTAATATATTTTGGGCCACCTCTTGTCAACATACAATGAATTGATATAGTGATATGAAAAACCTGACATTCAGCTTTTATGAAGAAACTACTTTGGGAATCCCAGCGGCTGTAGGTATGTGACAGGTCCCTGACAAATGACAGGTGACAGGTTACCCCAGGGGGACAGGTGAGCCATACGCACACACAGGAATGCTATACACGCACACACATGTTGGATTTCCATGCTTTTTGCGAACATTACATAGACAGGTTTACTTTCCTGGACTCCTAACCTTAGCTACTATTATTACTTACCTTTTACACTTCTACGGGGTATTAATTACTAACACAGAACATATTTAGATCACTATTTTGCCTCTTATATTTTTGAAAATGCTATATTCACTGAAAACATCATATTAAAATTAGTGCTGTCATGCGATAAAAAAAAATTTAGAGATTAATTAATTATGATCTGTAATTAATTAATCTAATTAATCTCATTTTAATCTCACCTAAAAATTGCTGAGAAAAGCCTTCAATTTGAGGTATTTTCATTTAAATTCATTATTACATTATTGTGGCAGATCAAAAGACTGATATAGAACAAAAAAAGTGACTTTATAAAGTCATTTATTGTTTAACAAATCTCTCCAAATTGGCTGTTGAGCCCAAGTCTCCATGAATAAGAAACTGTTTGCTGTAAAGTAGCAAAGACGAGGAAATCTGAACATAGTAACTTTTGTCTACTTAAAGACAATAAAAAGTCCAGTCTTTCCTTAACCATATTAAAAATATTATTGATAGAGAAATGCTTTATATATGAGATCACTGGTTTTAGTCCTTGTTTTAGTCCTGGCTTAGACCTGCTTTAGTCCTAGTTTAGTCCTAGTTTAGTCCTGGAATGGATTAATCCTGGTTTTAGTCCTGGTGTTAGTTCTGGTTTAGTCCTGGTTTAGTCCTGGTTTAGTCCTGGTTTAGTCCTGGTTTTAGTTCTGGTTTTAGTCCTGGTTAGTCCTGGTTTAGACCTGGTTTAGTCCTGGTTTAGACCTGGTTTAGTCCTGGTTTAGTCCTGGACTGAATTAGTCCTGGTTTTAGTCTTGGTGTTAGTTCTGGTTTAGAGGCGCACAGGAGGAAGCGCGGTTTACGCCGCGTACGCGAGAAAACACGATCCACACGCGGCTCACGGGAGCACGTCGGTGTCCGCGCAGTGTCTACGAAAGGAAACGTGGTCCGCGCGTTCTCAGGTTAATGACGATGATGAAGGTGTGTGTTTGTGTTTGTGTGTGTTTGTGTGCGTGTCCCCTCATGTGGCAGGTCACTATAGGACAGTAGTGAAGACATCATGAGTCTATGCAGGTTGTTTTCACCAGTGACATTTAAGTTGTAGGCGATATTATATTTGTTATTTTCTTTTATATTTCACGTCGGGAGAATAATTTCCAAGACACGAATGTGTTTTTACCTGTGCACTGCTGACTCTGTTCTACTGGCTCTTCGACCTCGTCCATTGTGCGACTGACGCCGTAAACGTCGCTCTTACTGCGCGCGTTTTGTGCGGGTTTCCGACAATGAGTGGAATTGCCGAAATTAAAAAATGTATAAATGTGTTTTTTGTTTGTGCGTGTGTGTGTGTTGTTGTCCCAACAACACATAAAAACAGGTTTTATAATAAAGCAACTCACATACAGAAACACTAAAGTTAGAGATTAAAAATGAGATTAACGCGATTAAAAACATAACGCGCTAAATATGACTGCAATTAATTAATCGCAATTAACGCGATAATTTGACACCCCTAATTAAAATATGTAATTAGTTCCAGTTTAGTCTTTAACACTATAAGTCCTCCCTACCCTTGCTCTCTAACCCAGGTGACCCCCTCTTCAGAAGTGCAGAAAATTTAGATAAAATATGTGTTGCATAACTGGACAAAACTCAAAATACATTGCAACGTTCATCCTGTGAAGAAAAATAAAAATTATTATTATGGCCATGCCCCCTGACAAACCGAAAGCTGACCATCTTGGATTCAAATTTTCAAAATGTTGAGTCAGAATTTTCGCTCCCGTCGTATTTTAATGCACTCCTCTGAAGGCGCTTCACCCACAGGGTTGAAAATCACCATATATCATCTAGAGAAGTGGGGCATCAAAAGTTAGCCAATTTATTTTCATAACTGTCACAGTTTACGTGAGGCGAAGCTGCAAATTGTAAAACTTCTTGTAAAACATTTTGCCAAAATCTACTAATTGTGACAGAAACAAAAATTGTGTGATAGAGCCCCCTACAAAACACAACAAGATTCTCCACAGATAGGGAAAATTTTCTTTTCCAAAATGGACGAAATTTGTCATAAAATTGCCTTGGGACATCTCAATCAAAAAAGTCAATGTAAAACATGGTATTTTTTTAACTGTGTTCCCATGGTGATACACAAAAGCTCCAATGTTATCCTAATGAGAAAGATCAGAAAAATTCCCATTCATGAAAAAATATTATTATCACGGAATATTATGAAATTTGGCATAATGACTCTTCATGTCATTCCGATCAAAAAAATCTATCACAACCATATGGTATATTTCACTGGGTTCCATGCCTAATGGCAAAATTTAAAACATTTCTTACATTTCAAAGTCATAAAACAACTTATTAGTTTCACTGAAGAACGTGAAATTTGGCACAATGATTCTTCAAATCACCTTGATCAAAAAAGCACAAGGGGCCAAAGTCGTATTTTTCATGGTGTTGCCATGGCGATGTCCCAAAGTGCCCATGTTTATCTAGGTTAGCACATCAACATCTCCAAGGCGTGCTGACTTTCTGTGTTTAGTGACAAGTACAATTGTAAGCGACAATCACACAGACGCAAGAGGTGCATCAGCGCTACCCGGGGGCAGTGGCGGGTCGGCCGAGTGCGAAGTGCAGTCTGCGAGGACCGTTCGATGCTGCTTGCGGCTTCAATTTTGAATTTATTATTACAATTTATGTTTTGTTACTATAATATTTTGTGATGTGTGAGCTACTGTGTCTAAATAATTTCCCTTGTGGATCAATAAAATTTGTCTAAGTCTATGTAAGTTTAAGTCTAATTGAGAGTGCGCAGTAATTTTTGTCCCCACAAAGTCATAAATACACACCAGTCTACACACAGTAATGGTAGATGGAGGAGCTGTTGCAGGGAGGTGGGGAGCGGTTGGAGGGAGGGGGTTGGGTGGGGGTGTACCTGTGGCTGGTTGGTGGAGTTAAGGATGAGTGCCCACAGATCTGCCCGGAGCCCAGTGGGACAGCCCTGTCTGCTGTACTGCTGCGCTGCTGCACTGTCCTGCTCCTCCACCACTGCGCACACACAGAACACATTAGTGTAAAAGCCCAGACATACAGACATACAGACATACAGACATATAGACATATAGACATACAGACATACAAACACACAGACATATAGACATACATTATTTATTCACTCAGAACCTGTGGCTGTGAGAGGAATGAACCCAAGACCAGAATATGTCTGTGCTGAGCTACAAGACACTTTAACCTGGGCATTTTAGATTAGCTATGTTTGACAGGTTGGAAATGGCAACACTGATGGAACTCCAACTTTATGGGAACCCAGGATTAGAGATGGCCGATACTGATACCAACTGTTTAGGATCCAGAGAAACCAATGGGATCTAATTTGAATTTAGTGCAAACTCATCCACAACCATTTTTTAAATTATAGACAGATAAGAGAGCTGTGTAGTCACATTTCTGCACTACCCTCTTTGGCCAAAGTAATCAAATAACATTGTATGCATATACTCCTGATGCATATGATGGCAACTGGTTAGTCAATTTAAATATGAGTCTCTGGTGATGATTTAAGGCTGACAGTCAATTAAAAAGGGCATCTTTTCAGCAAATATTTCTACCCAGGATTATTATTTTTTGTGGTTAAGCATGTCTCTTGTCTGATGCCAGACTTACTACCAACCCATTTATCTCACTTATAGTAGAATTTGAATCTATAATTGATCATTCAATTTTTGAATTGATATGGACTTAAAGCAAATAGAGCAAGAACTAGTGAAGCAGAGCATTTTCTAACTTTACTGTAAGAACAGCGGATAGTACAAATTATACTGAATCAAGTACAAACATAATTTTTACTTTACTGACAGATTCTCGAAAGAAGAACTATTACATAGCTTTCCAAAACTAACACTTGGAAATACTGGGAAATTAACAATTCTGTCTCTATTCTGCCCTAAATCACAAATGTTAAAACATGCTGTCATTGATTTTAAATGCCGGCCAGTTGTAACGTAAACCCACATTCCTTGTAAATGTCCTATTTGGGAGATCTGAGCCAGCATGAGGCTAAGTTCAGTTGTTTTTGGAATAATAAGACCAATGTAAGTGCACAGTGCTGAGTCAAAGAGCTGTCTACTCATTTCAAGCACTTTTTAATCAAGCTTCATTATGTTGTCACTTTGTTCAAATTATTTTTATTTAAGGACAGACAGAGGAAAATTTAGCTTCTTGACAGCAATATTCAGAAAACAAAGACAAAAGAAAGGTATAAATAGCTACAAAAACATATGGTTGTCAAATCCCCTTGTGGCCTGTCTAAAACAGTATTACGTTCAGCAAATGCTCAATATTTTTGGAATCTCCTGCTTTGGTACAGGTTTATTCATAAAGCTAAACAGATAATACATAAATGTTTATTATCAACAGTTAAGTTATCTATAATGAGTGGCTACTGCCTTACCTTTCTTCCCAATTTGAACATATTCATTCTCAAACAGGTCTTCATAGCAACCGGAAAGAAACAAATAAAATAATCTGGTTAATTTTGTAAACAAATATAATCTCTCTGAGTTTAAAAACACAATCGTACCAGATAAGATACAATACAAAGAGACACTAATACTGTCAATTTCCGAACTTAACAGAGATAGAGTCTGAGGAAAGCCAGGCTGACATGAAGCACAGGAGCGGTAAACAGCAGATATGTGCACAATACACTCTGTAAACAATTAACACAGCGAGATTTATGATAGCAATAATAAAAGAGAAGGTCTGAAGACCTTAAAAGGGTCAGTTTAGTTAGAATAACTCCAAGCAAACATATTCAATACAGTATATGTCCAAAAATACTCTGCCTAAAAGAAACTTAAAGGTGTACTATGTAATTTTTTTTTGGTCGTGTCGGTCTGTCAGCTGCTTGTTTCTATAGATTTATTAAATTACAGGTGGTTTTATAGCTCAAAACTTCCTAGAAAAACAGGCATTGTGACTGTGAGTGGGGTTGCCTCTTCACTGATCTGACCTGTAACATGTTTGGCATGGTCACCATGAAAATAGAAAGGTTTAATACTACACTGTGAAACATTCCAGACGAAGTGAATAACATCTCCATGGTAAAAAGCATTTGACGGACCCTCCAAGAGAAATGTTACACAATGCATTTTTAATATAGTTATGACATGAAATACTAACTTATAGAAACAACTGCATTTTAGTTATGTACCTGGATGAAGGTGTGCGTGGTCATCAATCCCCAACTGCCCAGTGTTTAGGTTCAGTTCTGAAAAGGCCTGTCTCTGGAATAGTGGGAAAAACAGAGAGAGGTTTAAAATAAATAAAAGAGGTTTAAAGATCAGACTTTAAAAAAAAGCGCTCTTACCAACTTTGGGATGTCCCGAACATTGAGGGGAACCTGAATCAGACCCCAGTGGCTGCGAACATTCACCTCCTCACTGCTGTCATGGTTGGGATTTCTCAGGCTAACCACTACCTGAAAAAATCAAAATTAAATTTAAATTTAAATTTAAAATTTAAAATTTAAATTTAATGTATACATGACATCATAAATTAATTACAACTAGCTCTGTCATTGAATTGCAGCTAACTGTGTGTGTTGTCAGTGGGCAATGTCACACGTACACCAAAGTCTGATTATTATTTCATGTATGGACAATTAAAGGTCCTATATTACAAAGACTAAACTATTGTGAGCTTTAAGCCATGCTATAATGCTGTTACCTACTCCTAAGAATACCTGGAGTTGTGTTTTGTTTCATTCACACGTTTGAGTAATCCTGCATTTCTAAAGTTCAAAATGCTCTGTTCCACCCTGTAATGTTATGAAGCAGTAATTTTCAAGTTAACAGCTATATTTTACCTTTTATTCAGGGCTGAAATCAACCAAATGATTCTAGTGAAGGTCTATAGAGTTTAAAAACACAGTGGAGCACTTACCTGTATACCCGTATTACCACATAACATCACAAGGTGGAAGAGAGCGTTTTCAGTTTGAGAGAAGAACTCTAAATATGCAGGGTTTGTGTGTTAAACATGTGTAAAGGAAACAAAACACAACCAGGTATATTTATGATGACGAAACAACATTAAAACCTAGATCAGAAAACGAAGTATAGAACCCTTTAATTAAGTTCATTTAAATGACGTGTAAACCACAAAGTCCGATGTGAGTAACTGAAGGGACCATGATTAGAAAAAGAAATCTGATGATTTCCTGTTTACATGTCATTTTAATAACTCAACTATCAAAAAATCTGAGTGTGCATGTAACCTCAGACAGTAGTACTTAGAGAACATTAGCAAAACTGTGTGAAAATTATATTGTATTCAATGGTCTTGTAAGCACACACACAAGAGGAAAACTAGAGGTTCCTGCTTGCAGAGTTGTTTATTGGCAGACTTCTAAGCTTCACACAAATTAATGGAAAACAGCAGGGGATGCACCTGTATAAACCAATGCATGGCCGTTTGTACCAAGTGTCAAGATCAGAACATGAATCGATTTCTAAAGATAATCAACAATGGAACAGTTACCTCCAGAAAGTCTTTGGGGGCATAGACAGGTCTGAAGCGACTCAAATCTGTAACGAGATAATTCACAATTGTAGTTTATATAAATACCAACCGTTTACATCAGCAAATCCAAGACAGATGGGACAGCTCTTGTATCTAGACTATACAAATGTGTTGAGGCTTGAGAAACACTTTATCATTTCTGCATTAAGAACAATGCAGTGTCTTGTGGTCAAAGGGGAGGCTAAGTAGGACCGTGAGCTGTCTCTAAGTGGGATTTCCAGAGCACGGCAGTAAATCGGCATGGCGTGTCAGCTGTAAACGAGGTCAGAATCGGGTTTGGACGGAAGGAAGGGTGCTGCTCAGTCCAAGAAGTCTGGACAGGCTCGAGATTGAAAAAGTCAGTGTTTACAGTTAGCCGACGGCACAGAGCACAGTGTTATTGCAAAGAGTGATAGTGCTGTTTGGATCGGAGAGTTACCATGCTCTTTGTACTGAATTTACCCGGAGACTACCCGTGAAAGATAAAGATGTATATTTCGGTCTTCCTCAATAAAATATCTTTTGCAACATCTTATCTTATACAATGAAATGTACTGGCCACCCAAAGGTCAAAAGTATTTGGGATCCAGTACCATGCAGTTCAGTGCAGGGAACAAATAGGACTTTACTTATTTCAAGGCTTTTAATGCCCTGCTCTGGTAACCCTTAAAGGAGAAGCAAGAGCCAAAGTTACAAGATTTCTTTTAGCAGTTAGGGATGGGATAAACAATAATATTGTTATTAATAAAAAGGCAGACATTTTGTATAATTGTTGTAAATGCCAATAGAGATAATCGCCATTGTTTCACCAAAATGTGCAGAGAAAAGTTATTTATCTTTAATGTTATATTCTAGATTGTTATATTCTGGATCATTGTTATTTTCACAGATAACAAAGTACATTACTATAAAAGTTCTTTAAAATGTAACTAATTAATAATATTCAAATTATAATTTTTAATATCTCCAACATTTTTCAGCTGTTATCATGATCGTTAAATCGCAATTATTTTGGACATGAAAATCGTGACATAAAATGTCAGAATATCATCCCATGCTTTCTAGCAATTAATAAACTACATACAAACTTGTTCATATTATAGCTTCATAACAATTACCTATTCAAACATGCATTGTTTGTACACCATTACATTTACTATACACCAATATAGTGCGTGAGGAAATGGGTGAATTTGAGCTACGGGGACACCTGAATTTCCCCTTCCGGCAATCAGTAAAGTATTTATCTATTTATCTATGTCAATCTCTAAAATACCATCCATCCATCCAATTTCGTTCACTTATCTGGGACCGGGTCGCGGGGGCAGCAGCCTAAGCAGGGACTCTCAGACTTCCCTCACCCCAGACACGTCCTCCAGCTCCTCCGGGGGAATCCCGAGGCGTTCCCAGGCCAGCCGAGAGACATAGTCCCTTCAGCGTGTCCTGGGTCTTCCCTGGGACCTCCTCCCGGTGGGACATGCCCGGAACACCTCCCGAGGGAGGCGCCCAGGAGGCATCCGGAACAGATGCCCGAGCCACTTCAACTGGCTCCTCTCGACGTGGAGGAGCAGCGGCTCTACTCCGAGCTCCTCCCGTATGACTGAGCTCCTCACCCTATCTCTAAGGGAGCGCCCAGCCACCCTGCGGAGGAAACTCATTTCGAGTGCTTGTATCCGCAATCTTGTCCTTTCGGTCACTACCCAGAGCTCATGACCATAGGTGAGAGTAGGAACGAAGACTAACCGGTAAATCGAGAGCTTCGCCTTTTGGCTCAGCTCCCGCTTCACCACAACGGTCCGATATAGCGACTGCATCACTGCCGAAGCTGCACCAATCCACCTGTCAATCTCACGTTCCTCCCCTCACTCGTGAACAAGACCCCAAGATACTTGAACTCCTCCACTTGAGGCAGGGATTCTCCACCCACCCGGAGAGGGCAAGCCACCTTTTTCCGGTCGAGAACCATGGCCTCGGACTTAGAGCAGCTGATCTTCATCCCAACCACTTCACACTCGGCTGCAAACCGCCCCAGTGCACATTGCAGGTCCTGGTTCAATGAAGCCAACAGGACAACATCGTCTGCAAACAGCAGAGATGAAATCCTGTGGTCCCTAAACCGGCCCCCCTCCGGCCCCTGACTGCGCCTAGAAATTCTGTCCATAAATACAATGAACAGAACTGGTGACAAAGGGCAGCCCTGGTGGAGTCCAACTTGCACCGGGAACAGGTCTGACTTACTGCCGGCAATGCGAACACAGCTCCTGCTCCGGTCATACAGGGACCGGACAGCCCTTAGCAAAGGGCCCCGGATCCCATACTCCCAGAGCACGCCCCACAAGACACCACGAGGGACACGGTCGAATGCCTTCTCCAGATCCACAAAGCACATGTGGACCGGTTGGGCAAACTCCCATGAACCCTCGAGCACCCGATGGAGAGTATAGAGCTGGTCCAGTGTTCCACGGCCAGGACAAAAACCACACTGCTCCTCTTGGATCCGAGGTTCGACTATCGGCCGGATTCTCCTCTCCAGTACCCTGGCATAGACCTTACCGGGAAGGCTGAGGAGTGTGATCCCCCTATAGTTGGAACGCACCCTCCGGTCCCCCTTCTTATACAGAGGGACCACCACCCCGGTTTGCCAGTCCAGAGGTACTGTCCCCGACCGCCACGCGATGTTGAAGAGGCGTGTCAGCCAAGACAGCCCCACAACATCCAGAGACTTAAGGTACTTAGGACGGATCTCATCCAACCCCGGAGCCTTGCCACCAAGGAGCTTTCCAACCACCTCAGTGACTTCAGCCAGGGTGATGAGTCTGTCTCCAAGTCCCCAGCCTCGGCCTCCTCCTCGGAAGACGTGACAGTGGGATTGAGGAGATCCTCAAAGTATTCCTTCCACCGCCGGACAACGTCCCCAGTCGAGGTCAACAGCTCTCCCCCCGCACTGTAAACAGTGTTGGTGAAGAACTGCTTCCCCCTCCTGAGGCACCGGAGGGTTTGCCAGAATCTCTTCGAGGCCATCCGATAGTCCTCCTCCATGGCCTCCCCGAACTCCTCCCAGCTCTGAGTTTTTGCCTCCGCAACCGCACGGGCTGCAGCACGCTTGGCCCGCCGGTACCCATCAGCTGCCTCAGGAGTCCCCCGAGCCAGCAAGGGCCGATAGGACTCCTTCTTCAGCTTGAAGGTGTCCATCACCGGGTTCGGGGATTGCTGCCACGACAGGCACCACAGACCTTACGCCCACAGCTCCGAGCAGCCGCATCGACAATAGAGGCCGAGAATGAAGCCCACTCGGACTCCATATCTCCAGCCTCCCCCGGAATCCAGGAGAAGTCCTCCCGGAGGTGCGAGTTGAAAGTCCTCCTGACAGAGGGCTCCGCCAGATGTTCCCAGCAGACCCTCACTACAGGCTTGGGCCTGCCAGGTCTTTCCGGCTTCCTCCTCCGCCAGCGAACCCAACTCACAACCAGGTGGTGATCAGTTGACAGCTCAGCCCCTCTCTTCACCTGAGTGTCCAAGACACGCGGCCGGAGGTCAGATGACACGACTACAAAGTCGATTATCGACCTCCGGCCTAGGGCGTCCTGGTGCCACGTGCACTGATGGACACCCTTGTGCTCGAACATGGTGTTCGTTATGGACAAACTGTGACTAGCACAGAAGTCCAATAACAAAACACTGCTCGGGTTCAGATCGGGGAGGCCGTTCCTCCCAATCACCCTTCTCCAAGTGTCAATGTTGTTGCCCACGTGGGCGTTGAAGTCCCCCAGGAGAACAACAGAGTCCCCGGTCGGTGCACTGTCTAGTACCCCTCCCAAGGACTCCAAGAAGGCCGGGTACTCAGCACTGCTGTTCGGCCCGTAGGCCGACACCACAGTGAGAGACCTGTCCCCGACCCGAAGGCGCAGGGACGCGACCCTCTCGTTCACCGGGGTGAACTCCAACACACAGCAGCTGAGCTGTGGGGCAATGAGCAGGCCCACACCAGCCAGCCGCCGCTGCCCGCGGCCAACGCCAGAGAAATGGAGAGTCCAGCCCCTCTCAAGGAGTTGGGTTCCAGAGCCCAAACTGTGCGTGGAGGTGAGGCCGACTATATCTAGTCGGTAACGCTCAACCTCCCGCACAAGCTTAGGCTCCTTCCCCCCCAGCGAGGTGACATTCCATGTCCCCAGAGCTAGTCTCCATGTCCGGAGATCTGGTCGCTGAGGCCCCCGCCGTCGACTGCTGCCCGGATCCCTATGCACCGGCCCCATATGGATCCTGCCACGGGTGGTGGGCCCACGTGAGGACGGTCCCACGTCACTCCTTCGGGCTGAGCCCGGCCGAGGCAGGGGAAGGCCCAGCCACCAGGCACTCACTGGCGAGCACCCACCCCAGGCCTGGCTCCAGGGTGGGGCCCCGGTGACGCCAATCGGGGCGACGTAACTGGCCTCGTTGGTAAACTTGTCATACAGGGCTTCTGAACCGTTCTTCGTCTGACCCGTCCCCCCGGACCTGTTTGCCTTGGGTGACCCTACCAGGGGCATGAAGCCCCCGACAACATAGCTCCCGGGATCATTCGGGCACTCAAACCCCTCCACCATGATAAGGTGACGGTTCAAAGAGGGGTCTAAAATACCATGTTTTTTGGGGGTTTTTTTTATTTTATTTTATTTATTTTTTTTATAACATTTTTTAAATTTTATTTTATATTTCTACTTCAAACCAGTGCATCTCAGTCTTTCACTGCTCAAGGCCAAATCCCCTGAGATCTATTCAGACCTGGTTCATCTGTGCCCATCTCGTTCCATTTGTTGGTCAGCTCCTTCTGCTCCACTGCAGGCCTCTGTGTGGGTGGAAAACGGGGAATTCAACAAACAAATGCTCTCAAGTCAAAACAAATCATCAAGAAGTGGAACTCAAAATACAAAATGTGCCTACTGGCAAATTAATAAACTTTTATAACCTACATATACGGCTATAAGGACCATTGGCTAAAAAGGAGCGTAGCAAAAACTCTCTAAACTAACAAGTACCTCTGTGGTCTGGACACATGTTGGACTTAAACAGTATTCGCAGCACCACAAGTTCACTATTTGTACAGACATGTAACTTTGGTATTCACATGTAAAAAAGGGCAGAATCAACTACCAAATATTTTCACTGTATAATCGCAAAGGAAGGTAAAAGAATTAGAAAAAATTTAAATTGAAAAATTAAGGTCCAGTAAAACCCCATCAACTGCTCAACCTATGATCTACCTACAATTTCAAGACAGTGTAATGGAATTCAAATTTGTAGACTAGATATCATCTTCTGCAATGTTTTATCTATTACAGAGCCATTTGACTGTCTTATGAATTTATCTGCAGACACCATCAATCTTGTGCTGCTTTTATTTTTGGTCACGTGACTTGTACATCTTGTTCTAACTTGGTAGTTGCTTTAGTACATTAAATTCTTGACATACACATGTCAGTCAACAAAAGTCTGGAAAGACTGGAAGCATCAACAGGGGTTTGCACTAGAAAACAATGTGTCAGTAAAGCTGAAGTTGGAGTTGTTACCATGCGGGCCAGTGGTACTCCCAGCTCCGTGCTCATGCTGTTGAGGCTTTTGAGGACACGCTTCTCCCAGCTGGCCTGAGGGGAGATTTATATGTAATTATAGACATTCACACTGCAGGAACATATGGACTCTATCTGATTGGAAGCTTTTTTTAAATTAATTTTACAATATTTTAACTGAAGATGCAAGGCTAGAAAATGGACTATGCAGTGATTACTGTCTGGTCTAATTATGTGTCTGTGTGTTTTTTAACAATAATACTAAATACTAAATAAAACGAAATGAACTAAACATTAAGCATTTGGTACATTTGAGTACAGACTTTAATTTATAAAAAAAAACAAAAACATCCAATCCAACTATGTGCAAGCTGTCCTACTCAAAATTTATATTATGAAAAAAATGCTATAAAACTATTACTGGTAGTTCTCCCTGCAGCTGTTCAGGAGTCTCTTGGCAGCTGTTTAGGAGTAGCCCCAGATTTTGGCTAGAATTTAGATTAAACTTTGTATAAGACAATTCAGTCTGTTTGCAGTAGTCCAAACGTGAACATATCTATCGTGCTAGCCACTGCGTTCCAAATAGGAAGTGTTCATGGAGGCGCTTCTAGCTCCTACTGATCCTAGCTCCTCTTGACTTACATTGGAATATTGTCACCCTCTCCCTGTAACTGCTGCAGTGAGCCTCATCATTTTGGTCTTAAAATGTTGGTATTAACCCACTGTACACAATCCTGAAGTGTTTATTACACTATTTGGTCTGCTTTGGCTGTAAATTCCTATTCCTAATATGGAGCTTGGCTACAAATTAACTGCTAGCATCATGAGTTTCATTTGACTTGAGCCAAATGCTATAGGAAACGTCTCACTCCCTTACTTACTTCTTTATACACTCAGTCGTTCTAATGCAATGAGTTTGTAAGCTTGTTTCTCAACTTTTAGAGGCCAGAGTGAAGTTTTGCCATCACTGTACTAACAACAGCTAGAATGCTAACAGAGCACCAGTGTTACTTCCTGATTCTCTTTGTAGTTAGATGTAAAGAGCTCTCATTTTGATCCTAAGAGCTGCTTTTACAATATATACTGGGCAAAACAAATTTGACTCTATTACAAGAAGTCCCCTTAAATACAAATAAAAGTTGTTGAACATTTACAAAACAGACAAATTTATTTTCCAAAATGGGATCTCTGATCCAAACTACTGCTTTTACTGACAGAATTGGCTGTGGACCTCTGATTTAAAAAGACCCAAAATGAAAATTACAAAGTACTCAATACCAATCTCAAGAAAATGTGATATTCCCATTTTTATATTAGCCACACACTTAGACATCTGGGGATTCCATGCCATGTTCTTAAATTACTTCAGAAAAAGCTACACCAAATCATCACTCTTCTCCACATTTTCACTACTAATTGCATTTTCAATTCTAAATCCAGCCGAAACATATAAACAGCTGAATCCTGACCTCCACCGCCTATAGATGCGAGTGAGTAAATGTGCTGTGTTTGTATTTGGGTGACAGACTCAGAGAGAGGAAGGTGATGAAGAGGAGCAGTGATGAGGATGTGAGCAGACACACTGACCTGGGCCTTGCGCATGTAGGCCAGTGGCTCTTTGAGGTGCTCTGGGGGAACCGCAGGGTGACAAGGGGGCTGCTGCCTGGTGAAAGCACAAACAAAACATTTCAGAGCACAGAGATAATACATAAGACTTATATAGCACATTTTTGGACAATCAAAGACGCTTTACAAACAACGAGAAATGGATGTGCACAACTCAGAATTATAGTTTGTAGAGGTGGGTGGACGACAGAATTACAAATGCAATCAAGTCTGTAGCCTGTGCTCTTACTGATTTAAAAAAGGTACTACAATCACAACTTCACTGGGGTCTGCCTGTGCCTTACCGATAGCAGACACATGCAGGTTTTTCTCAGTACATAGACAGGCTCCTGTGAAAGCTCAGAACCTCCAGAATGCACTCATAGGCTGCTCTAGCTCTGATCAATGATTGGCACTACATGCTCAGGTTTAGGTAGTGAGGCTTCAGATCAGAGCAAGCCCTTTTAGGTTTTAACCAACTGAATTTAAGCACTGAAAATGCAAAAGAACTCAAATGAAAGACTCATTCTCATAAACAGATGGACACCAATGTTTATGTCAGCATTAGAACAATAAATCAGCATTAGAATCAGTAAAAGCTATATTTGATTTGAATATGTGGGTCTGAGGACACAGATAGGTTGAGTATGAAATTTTAAATCTAAATCTGACATGCAGTTCCTTTGTAAGTTTTGTAATTATTTTTATTTTAAATTTCCTGTCATTTTTTAAAAAGCATGAAGTAGAAACTAAACAAAAAGAATAATATCTGAAGAAAAAAGGAGAGAGACCCAAACACACCGTTTATCTCCTGTCTTCCAGTTAAGCATGCTTGAGACATATTGAATGACTCATGGCCCTGGTTTCTTAAACAAGATTCAGTGTAAGGTAAACAAGTATAAGAGCACATCGAGCTGACTAATGGCAAAAAGAGAGGTGCATTAGTTAATGTTACCCATCAAGCTGTAAAAGCCATGCATTAAGAGCCAACCTCCAGAGACACAGGTAAGAAGTCTTAAGAGTACTGTGCTTTACTTCACTATACCGGGAACAATGTGTCTTCAGAAACAGAAGGGGTCTACACTCACATAATACATGAGGAGAGAGTTAAATTATACAAATGTTTTTTTAGAGTCTGGGCACATTGGAGAGGATCATGGTAATAAATTAACAAAAAGATTTATAAACAAACAAACAAACAAACAAAAAATGTTACTGTATACTGGTCACAAGAACCCCTCCCCTGACACCTTCTCCATACAACCTTCTGTTGATGTGTCTTATGTGTCTAATGTACATGTCTTATATATATATTAATATAACATGATTCATAAAAACTATAGCACCAAGTAAAACATCAAGGAAAAAAATACACACAAAAATATATAAGACAATGTTCACACTCACACTGACACAGTAAGCACAGCTCGCCTGTATCAGTTTTTTCTATTGTTTTGGCTACTGCATGTCTGGATGTTGATGCTTGTGGTCACAGCACAGGGGATTTTTCCCAAGGTTTTTTCAAATACGGTACATAATAAACAAGTCAAGTAGTTATAGTGAACATTCTCAGTATTTGAAATGCTGCTAGTACTAGCTGGGACCTTTTTAAGACCTGGTTTATTTTGTGTTGCGTGTTAGATTCAGGTCAGTCTTGACTGAAGTTTAAAATCCATATACACACAATATTTTGTGAGAGAATAACTTTATATTGCACATGAGCATGAGCATGTGTGTGCCATGGATGACTAAACTGATGTACACTACTGGTATTTCAAACACTCCATATTCTTATTACTATAATACAGGTGTCTTGTTAAATGTACTTATCTTCTATCTTTAGCTCTTCTGCTTGTTATGGTAAAGTCTAGTTAGTGACTTGCAACACCTCTCCTTGCTTCATCTCAGTAAGTCATAAAGAGAAGCAATAATCAATGAGCCACATTAACCAGGTTTGTGTGTTGTGTAGAGTTGTGTGTATGTACTGAGTTGTTAGCTACCCTCTATAGCACAGGTGTCAAACATGCGGCCCGGGGGCCAGATCCGGCCCTCCAAGGCCTTTAATCTGGCCCTCGGCTGATTTTCTACTAAAATATTTTAATTCTATTTTTTATTAAAATATTGTTCATTTTCTGTGGTGCTTATCATAGCAGTGTTTCCAGCATCTCTGTGTGTGGCCCCTCCCACCAGAGCAGCACAAATGAAGACTTGCCTCTTTCCAAATGCTCTTAAAGGACGATCGTTTTGACTGTTGACCATGACACCCTCATCAGCAAAATGTCAAAAATGCGAAAAGTGGACACCGAGTGCAGGATTTTCCAAGAAAAATTTACTTAATCCTATTTATACAAGTTAATGTTAAACAAGTTCATGTTAAAATATTGTGTTGAAATTGTATTTTTCTTAAAGTTTCAGGTTGTTCATAATATTATAATATTTTGTAAAAGAAAGAATTCATCAATTTAAAAAGTTTTTTGTAATAGATTTGTATTTCTCTGCACAAATATTTGAACTTATTGTTATTTTTGGGGTTTATATTACATGAGTTTTCTGATCCGGCCCCTTTGGGATCAAAGTAGGTCCCTCAGACTAGAGCCCGACCGATATGGATTTTGTTGTGACCGATATGAAACCGATATAATGGGAGTTGGCGCTGCCGATAGCCGATATAATCGCCGATATATTTTGTGATGTAAAAATTCACTGTAAATCTTGAATTGATTAAAAAACTTAGGTTTGGCTCTAGTGGATTCTAAATTGGGTTTATTTAGGCAACATTTATTGTTATTTTGACTCTTTACATCATATTTACAGACAGTAGATTGGCCTAATGGCATTTTTGCATCACATTCTAGCTACTGTTACTGTCACTGCTAGTGATGGGTATTCCAGTTTTTTGGTTTTTTGATTTTTTTTGGAAAACCGGCTCGGCTCACTAAAGCAACTGGCTCTTTCGGCTCCCAAGCGACTCCTGAGATGGTTTTGTTGCAAGCAGGACTAAACCAGAACTGAACCAGGACTGAGTGTCGGGACTCGGTTTCTATCTCTCTCCTTCACTTAAGCCCAAGTTTAGTCCTGGTTTATTCATTTTATGCTGAACTGCAGCCAAATATGCACTTTTTTTATCCTATGCACACGCAGATTTCTGAAAGTTTCGTTTTCAGCCGCTGCTGCTGTCAAACTATGGGTCTACATGCGGCATGAAGAGAAAAAGTGAGAAAAAGAGAAAACACGGCTCCCAATAAGAAGCAGGCTCCTGTTGTTCACTTCAAAGAGTCGGCACTAAGAGCCGCTTCGATCGCGACCGACCCATAACTCCAAGCTAGTAAACTATCGCTATAAGCCTTTAGCCATAAAAACATGCGCACCGCGGTAATTAATTATATGCATAAATGTGGATCATTCACACGTCTATTCACAGCTCATTTACATATCAATGCTTGTCCAGTAACAAATATACGACCAATGTAGTCACTTTACAATAGACCAATAGAAAACAGCCTGTTTATGTGTGGGAGCTACAGCAGCTAATCGCTAACAAAACCTAAACTAGCTTCAAAGTCGATGTATTTCCAACACTCACCGCTCACACAGGCTCCTCCTCACATCACAAGTCTGCACTAATAAATGTCCTTTTAATCCAGACTCAAACCGATTGTCCGAAAAAGAATCTAATCTCAGTGTTGCGCACCGCTGCGGGTGTAAACAAACACACGTGAGTGAAGTGACGTCACTCTGGTGGTGTGTTCAGGGACAGTACGGACACAGACACAGACAAATTACACCGTAGATAAATACTGATGCGGAGCCACATTATAGGACATTTATCTGTCTGTAAATTGGATTAAATGAACATAATGTAGAGAGTCTAAACTTTATAAGGAGGTATAACATGCCCACGTGAAATATCGGCCCATATCAGCAAGCATATCGGCCGATAGCCGATATGTCTCCAGGTGCCCATATTGGCCGATAATATCGGCCAGCCGATATATCGGTCGGGCTCTACCTCAGACCAAAATGAGTTTGACACCCCTGCTCTATAGGAACAGTAAAGAACATATTTAAATGCCGTTTTAGGGTAAACTTGTTTGACAAGGAAAGTGTGATGAAAAATAAATTGACGCAGTGTCACTTCAGCAGCAACTCAGTTAGTACATGATGGATACTTTTCAGTAGCAGTTTTTGAACACTGGGAAACTATGTTATGTTTAGAAATAATTTATAAGCTAGAAAAGAGACCCCATTAATTTATCCCATAGACTTTCCAAAAACAATTAAAAGTTTTGAAGTTCACTCAGAGCTAATTAGCTATGTGGTGATTACTGAGCACAAGACCTATAATTTGATTTAAAATCTGTTTCTGAAACTTTATAAAACACAAATTTAAATCTTGCATTTAAAATTTTTGAGTGAAAACAACTGTGTTATAGATATTATTTAGCATGTAGCTGTTTAGCCTCCACGATGTCTTTGAACTCTTGATATTTGAATATTTCGAAATGTTTTCGGAAAGGAAATTTTACTTCCAAAACCAGAGCAGACTTCGAAGTGGATGGGATTGTTGAGCTCCATACATCCCTCCTGTATTCAAAACTGTATTCTACTAAACTTGTTTTTAAATGCAACATAAATATGAAGTGCATGTTGGTGTAGCTTACACATGTAGCTCCCTGTACACTGCATTCTGAAGCCTTCTTTCCCAGCCTGTAAGAGAAAATGAGTGAAATGGTTAACAATATATATTTTTAAATGACATTAAAAGGTTTGTAAGATGACAAGGGGTGACAATCAAAAAGGAGACACTATAGTAATGTTGTATGCACAACATTATCAGAATTCTCAGCATTTAGGACGCTTATGTAATTCACAGCCTTATGGAACAAAATGTCTGGAGTTTTTGGCAAAAACTCTAATTGTGAATATTACAGTATTACCCCCACCTGATGTTTTGAGGAAATTCCGTACATCTTCTTTAAGGGATCCCAGTTTTATCTCAGGTTGGTGTAAACATTCCTATTAAATTTCAGAAAAGAATCAGTTAAAACATGTCATGCATTCACTCATCTTGCAGAATATTATTCTCCAGGCGGGACGCAGCAGCACTGTGATTGACAGGCACCTGCTCTGCTCCTCCGCATCTTAGCCACATGCTAACGCTACTTACTTTGGCTTGTCGCTCTATTTGCGAGTGTAAATGGCTTCCTTTCAGGCGTTGCACGATTTGGGCAATTGCCAGCGATAACTCGGTACCCTCGTTCATTATTTGTGGTATCAGTGCTCCTTTATTTTTGTTTTACAGGACGTTTAATGATGGTGCAACATCCAGCGAAGCAGCAACAGCAACCCCCTGCACAAGTTACATAGCAACGGGTTCAGAGGGAACAATACTGAACATTGGTTCCTTGGACACATTGGTTCCGCTCTGGTTTCTACAAGTTATACAATTACATAGGGTAGGTGGGGGGTGGGGGGGGGGGGGGTTTGTTTATTGGGGGTAGGCTGTATGGTCTATTAATTTATGAAAATAAACCACTCTCCCATGCCGACATAAACAAAAACATAGTTCACTAGACTATGTTTCATTGAGATCTGTAGTTGGTTAAGATATACCAGGGAGTCACTCAAGATCTTTTCCACGTGAACGGTGATAGAGGAAGAGTCACATCAAATCACACAAAGTTCAAATACAACAGCAGCCAAAACGCGTGCATTTATATAAGCGTCATATCTGTCATTTTTGTTCTTTTAAGATTAGGCTAAATCACATAATTATATAGGCCTAGACTGTTAGGGTGTATTGTTTTTTTTTTTTTTTTGTTTTTTTTTTAATGAAGACAGGCAGATGCTGACTCGTGCTGAGCCTGAAGGCGGGCTGCGCGCTCGAAAGTGCGCCTCTTCCACATGCTGTCAGACACTATAGAGCCAGGACGCACGCCACACGAGGAGCGCGCGGACAACCTGACGCACAAATTTAAGTCATTGCATTATGATTCAAGTTCCTTTTCTTAAGTCGTGAAATAAGACTCACTTTGTGTTGATTTGGTTTGTAGCATGTGACGGATTTTTAACTCAGTCTACCTGGTTTTACATGTTGCTGCAAGAAGAGGACGCGCAATGGAGACGTTTACAATCCACGACATGCTCGTCAATTCTACTGATCTGAATAAGATTTTGTGTAATTTGGGAATTAAGAATATTTCAGATTGTGAGAGCGATGAAGTCCCTTCACCCGAACCTAAAGGTAAACAAGTTTTGGTCTATGTTCGAGAATATCTGTATTTTCCTTCGTAATTCCGAGGTTCATTCCTTTGAGCCTAATTTGTTCCAAAAGACAATTGTGCTTTGGGCATGTTTGCGCCAGCGCGCATTACGCATATGCCTGCTGTTGTGGTCTTCTGTGTGTCTTGTAGTAGACTACTGATACAAGGGCACCGCGCTGTTATACAACTTACAAAATTAATAACGTCAACACTGTACATTACAGAGTGGCACAGAAATATGTAAACATTTGTTTTAAACATATTTTATAGTGAAGGAGAGAGAGGCATTGTGGTCATGGCACATGCAAGAGCCTTCTGAGTCATGTTTACATTTATAGCGCTAAGACCACTTCATCATAGCTATAATATCTAACAATAACTGCAGGGTATGTATTCAGATGCAAACATTTCTATATGCAGCTATAGGCAGCCACACACACACACGTCAGCAAGATTCATTTATCACTTTTATTCATTTTCTCTCTTGAAAGTAACCCTTTTTTTTTTTTTTTTTTTTTTTTTTTTTTTTTTTAAATTAAGTTTGTAATATTCTCCTGACAAGAAATATTATCCAGGCCCCAACACATTATTAATTTCCTAAAATAAATGCTTCAAAGAATGTTGAAGAATGGTTTCATAAACTCTAAGTAAGAACAATTATCATTAAAGCAGGTGGCAGTGGTTTGTATTTGTTGAATAAAAATAATAAAATTATCATAACATTTGACATTATTGACACAACCCACTCTTCTTGCCAGACTGTTAAAGTGGGGTTGACAGCAGAGCGCACCATGTCCTGTAAATGCATTTGTAATGAGATCACTATAAGCCCTCGCATGCATCTGTTTCTTATGTATAGAGAGATATTAAGCCAGGTGTAAAATTTTAAATATAATTTAGGTAACTTCAGTGGGCGAACTTTGAAATGACAACATTTTGTAATAACTATAAAAAAGTAGACCTATAAGTCTTCATATTTTATTCATACAAATGTTTCTTGCTTTATTACGGTGATGCTTGTATAGTTATCCCTTCTTTGTTTATTGAACAGTTGTTAATGTTGTCCAGTGTAAGAGAGAGTAAGTAAGATAACATGCTGTGTCAGTGCTATTTTATCAATTAAAAGGTAAATGTAACATTTCTGATGTAGGGTCTGCCTCCTGTTTGTCGTCATTGAGATGTTATTGTTCTGCCTGGAATGTTCCACAGTGTGTCATTGAATGTATCTATCTTGCATTCATTTGATTATTGGTGTTTTAATTTAAACTAGTTTAATTAATGGTGTCCAAGAATCTAATCGGTAATTTCGCCTGGTGGCATCGGATACCTGTCTCCATGGAGATAGATGGGTTTTCCTATTGTGGAACATTCTACACAAAGCAATAACATCTCTATGGATACAAGTAGATAGGCCTGTCACGATGACAAATTTCGAAAAATGTATTCGATAAACAATAATATTGAAACCATCTTATGCCACTGACTCAGTAACCCAAGAGCAGATTTAAACCACAAAAGCTATTCTAAATCTACGATAATGCTAAAAATCATAAGCTGCAATAAATAAACAGCAAATTAAAACATTTTACTACTTAGTTTGCATCTCTAATGAGCCATAGAAGTTATTAATTCAACCTTCTATGGCTCAGACTTTATCACATATAAATAAATATACCATAATATGAATACATTTCCAGTAGTGCAAAGAAAATGTACGCTCGATAAATACTGACTCCTAAAAGTATTCTTCCATTTGTTATATATTGAACAATAAGTTGATACAATGGTTATCATGAAATGTCTACAGATAATGGATTTCCTGCAGAAAAATTGAATAGTGTATCTTTAACCAATATTCAGTATGATCAGCAATCCACAGCTCTCAAAACGTCCCTCTAGATTATGTTGTCCACGAGTCAACCTTCTCCCTGTGTCTGTCTTTGATTATTAAAGGTGCATTGTGTAACTTTTGTGGTGGAGGGTCCATGAAATGCTTTTCTCTATGGAAATGTTATTGCTTTGTCTTGAATGTTTCACAGTATGGCATTAAACCTTTCTATCTGCTTGGAGATCAAACCAGATCAAGTTACAGGTCAGATCTGTGGAGAAGCAATCCCACTCACCGCCTGTTTTTCTAGGTATTTTCCAGCTATAAAACCACCTGTAACTGAATGTAGTAAAACAGAGATGTTTAATGTTATACTGTGGAACATTCCAGGCAGAGCAATGACATATCCAGAGAAACAAGCAGTTGTCAGACCCCCAACCAAAAAGTTACATAGTGCACCTTTAAACAATATTCAGTTTCCTCAGCTATCCGCAGCTCTTAGAAACTTCCCTGTATTTTATGTTGTCCACAAATCAACTTTGACCCTATGTCTGACCCTTATAATTTATGTTTACTCCCCAGACCCTGATAACCCAATGTACAACAACAGTTTGGCTCTCCTCAGTGACAGCAAAAATCTGTAATGTTCAAGAGTTTTTATTTGTTTTTTGTCTTTTGTTTTTTTTTTTTTTTTTTTTTTTACCAACATGCAAAGACAAAAAAAAAGACAAAAAAAAACAAAAAAACCTTAGGACATACAAGTATACAATTATGACAAAGACAATAACAAAACATTGCCATTACACTACACATACATATATACACATACATATACATTCACACATGCATATACATATTACATATACATGTGTGTCCATTCATGCATACACACACATATATACCTACACACATGTACATATTACATATACACACATATATATACATATACATAGACTTTTTTAACATATATTAACATACCTACATTTCATGCCCATATACATACGTATACATGCACATACATAGATATATAGAGAGAGAGATATTTAAATACACAAAAGCTTTGGCAACATTCCTATCAAATGGGTTCTGAATTTCTCCCACAACTATGACAAGGAGCATTTGAGTTTGTTTGCAAAATATAGATTAATATCTCTTTAAAAATCATTAGAATCTTGCAGTTCACACTTTGTGTTAATAGTTTACGGTGACATCATTCTGGTTGTGTTCTACATGTATGTCTAATGGTGGAATGTTTAGGAGTTGCTATGGTGACAAAATGCACACTGTCAAAAAAGTTTGAAGATGATCTGAAAACTGAAGAAAAAAAACACAAAATGGATTTAAACAGCACATTTCCATGAGCCTTTGTCAAAACAAGTATTCATGGTTATGTTATTAATTTTCAAATAAATGGTGAGAGTGACAAACTGAAAAAAATATTGGTTAATGGTAGCTAGCATGTGATTGTAATTTTATGTGACAAAGACTTGTCTAACAGCATAAATCAGATCACCTGTTGTAATTCCAGGTTTTTATGGTCAGATTATGTTAAAACAAAGCACAGACTAAAGTCTAATAAAAGCCTCAGACAGAGCAGAGCCTACAGTTAGCATCACACCCCAAAAATGTACTCTGCTGTCCTTTTTTTTCTATACCAGTGGGAGATAAGCCACCAAAATAATATAACAATTTTTTTGGAGTCAGATCACAATTTCAATTTTCTTTTCTTTTGAGAGTTCACGCTTTATTATGGCTGGTTAAATCCATCTGTTACATTGTTAAGGCTCACCAGTGGGAAATGTGATTTTGAAAAAGTGTATTTAAGCTGTATTAAAAAAAATATGTAAATTCTATTGAAATATCAGGCCAGGAACATGTTTTCTATCACATTGTTTCTTGATTGCTCCTTGGATGCTCCTCTATAAGCATTATTTCCATTGATAGTATCAGAAAAAGATCAGATAACGCAATAATTAGATCTGATTTTTGGTGCATGTTTACATGTACAAAACTGTTGTATTTGGAACACAAAGTGCAATGAATTTTAACAGTTTCAATCTTTAACATTCTCTCTTTGGGTAATTTCTTTGTCAAAACATGCATAAGTCTGAGGAGTTATGCATACCAGACTGAACTGTTTACAAGACAATTAGAGGTGGGTGAGAAGAAGAGCCAGAAGTTGCACTCGAAGAATAATGTCACTTCAGAATAATATGACTCAAGCAGAAGTACAAAGTAGTAGTCCAGGAAATTACTCAAGCAAGAGTGTATTTGGGAAAATGGCTCAAGTAAGAATAATGGTAAAAGTATAAGTCTGAAAGTAATGTATGATTTATAAAACTTGTTGGCTTACTCACAGTGGGGACAATTACCAACACTTTTACTCATGTAAGAGTACTGTTACACTGTACAAAATGTTACTCAAAAAGGAGTAAAAGTATGCAATCCAAAAACTACTCCAAGATGAAAAAGTTAGTCAAGTACATGTAACTGAGTAAATGTAACTGCGTAGTACGTCCTCAACATTTGTTTTGTTCATCACCTTTTCCACCTGCTGCCCTGAGGTAGAAGGTACAGGTCTATACAGGCCAGAACAACCAGACTGACCCACAGCCCAAACAGCTTCAGTAAAAGTACAGATCCTGGAGCAAAAATATACTCAAGTAAAAGTATCAAATGAAAAATCTATTTAAGTAAGTAAGTATTAAAGTACCGTTTGAAAAAATGAGTAAAAAGTAAAAGTATTTTCCTAGCTGTTTTTTGTACTTTTTTGTATTTTTTGTATTGTTTTATTTATTTTTTTGCTCAGAAATGTCTGCCCAAATGTGTTAAAAAATAAACCTTTCAGTCTTTTCAGGAAGTCTACATATATACAATAATAACAAAATATATATTTACTTTTTAGTCCAGTTCAAAAATGTAGAGGAGAAGAAAGTACAGATCTCAAATGGAGTGAAATAAAATTTAACACCAAGACAATAACATTGAACACATCTTGGCAATGTTGCAGTGCACATATCTGACTATGTCTCTGTGATGCCCTTTAATACTGATACCCTTTATGCTGCAGCTATGACTGTTACTGTTTATGACATACATGTACTGCACTGAATGTCAAAATGTCAAAACTATGCAGTGTTTAATGCTCTAAACGTAATTTAATTGTTTTCTATGACAATGACAATAAAAGTCTTGAATGTACTACCCACGTCTGTTAACAATCCAATAATCCAAACTGCAGAAATCTGTTAATGGAATATCCTGTTTCTACCAATGAACTCTTTCTTTTCATTGTGGCAGACATCAACCAGACCGTGCGTATCGTGCTCTACAGCCTGATCTTCCTCCTGAGCGTGGTGGGGAACAGCATGATCATCGCTGTCCTGGTGAGGAACCGGCGAATGAGGACTGTCACCAACCTCTTCCTGCTGTCTCTGGCAGTCAGCGACCTGATGGTGTCCTTGGTCTGCATCCCCTTCACCCTCATCCCCAACCTCATGAGGGACTTCATCTTTGGCACGGGCATCTGCAAGCTCGTCATGTACTTCATGGGTCAGTCACAATGCTTTTGGTCTATCATAGGTTTATTGGGGCTTTTAAAGGGCCGGTATTATGCTGTTGTGTGATCTACTGTATGTTATAATGTTGTTTTGACAACAGAAAGAGACCTGTTGTGAGTTGTGTTTTGTTTCAGTCACACTTTTAACAAACAAACCTTTCATATTTAGGCTGAGTTCTTCTCTCAAACAGAAAACACTCTGTTCCACTTTGTGATGTTATGTGGCAATACAGGAAGTGCTTCACTGTTGATGATGATTTCAGCCCTGGAATTGCCAATCTTTACAGAACAAAAGGTAGCTGTTAACTTGAAAACTACTGCTTCATGCATGGATGACATGCAAGAAATAAAAGAAATTCAAAAAACCTCTTCAAAACTGAAACTTTTTATATTTTTTAATACTCTCTTTAGGATATTGAGGCATAACTTTTCTACAAAATGATGGTCTGAACAAAATGGGTTTTTTTGGTCCACCGAACAAAAGAATTGCGAAACTATTCGGAAGATGAAAACAGAGATCTTTGATTTGATCAAAAGTTTGTCTCTTGAATGATGAGATGAGGTGTACCGTTTACTTTGAATTTCAAATGTCATCTATAAAATCCAGTCATATCATTGATTTATTGTGATAAATCTGCTGATGCCACTCAGGGTGGCATCAGACTGGCACAGAACAGAGCACCTGGATTTGTTCCTCCAATTAAAAGTGGCCTAATTTGTAGTTCCTGCTCAAAATATGTTAGAAGTGACTATGACTGTGATATTCTTACTATCGCAGCTATTACTTGGGCGCATTTGTCTACTGATCCGGTTGGCAGTTCGAATCCCACTCTCAACATAAACATCATTAGTTGAGTGGTCAGATCCACTGACCCACAGGTTGACATGAAATTCCAGCTCCCACAGATGAATGCTGTTGTTGTGTCTTTAGGCAAGAGACTTAACCCCCTTCATCCCCAGTGTCTGAGTGTGAATGGTTGAGTGTAGAAAAGCACTATATAAACACATTTACCATTTACTACTAATAGTACTAATATTAATCTTGCTTGCTACTTGTCCATAGATATAATTTACACTTGTGTTATAATATTACCTCCAAAAAACATACCTGGAGTTGTGTTTTGTTTCACCAGCTACCTTTTACCTTTTGTTCAGTAGAGATTGGTAATTCCAGGCTTGAAATCATCCAAATGACTCTAGTGAAGGTGTATTGAGTTTGTGTGTTAAATGTGTGAATGAAACAATACACAACTCCAGGTTTGTTTGTGATGAGAAAACAACATTATAATGTAGGTGAGAAAATAGCCTAATATAGGCCCTTTAAATGCCTCTCTGGACACATTAGTGAGTTTGTTTCAGTGGGACAGAGTGTTGAAAGTGGAGGGTCACTGTAATCATATGTGGGTTAATCAAACAGTCCCCTCAGATCTTGTGGTAATCTTTGGACCCTTTCATCTCAGTCCAAATAGATAAGACTATTTACCGCATTCATTGGATCAGTAATTGGTTTCTACTTTTTGTTTGAGGCCTAGTAATTGAAGTCATCATGGGCCAACCCATTCAAAATATTCATTTCCTTTTCATTTTCGTCTCTTCAGCAGAATGTCAGGCTGGTCTAATAGATTTGACCTGGAATAAAATGGTGGAGAACAAGAACACTAATTTGGAAAATGTTGACTTAATGAATCGTTTTTGCCTGGTGCTCACCTCACTGTAGTTGTCTATCTGTGGTCCCAATTGTGACGTTTGTAGCAGGTCATGCTGACAAATTGTTTGAGGAAATATGGGTGCACGGCTCACTCAAAGACCACATGAAGCAAGTAGAGTGGAAGCTAATACAAATGGCTCAAAATGAGAGAGGCGCAGCAGGCTGTAATTAAAATGGCAAATTAAGGAGCACATATAATTAGGAAAGGCCCTTACGGAAGATTAACACAGCACTTTTATTAAGTATGACCGCAATAACAGCCAGAACACTGTCCAAAGTTTGTTTATAGCAGTGCAGACTGTCACCATGGTCCTCTGATTCTAAAAACTAAGCTTCAAATGTCGCCAATGTTGTAGAGTCAAGACTTAAAAGATACAGGATGCAATGCCACTGAAATGGCACAGCAAACATAACTTGTCAAATGGTCTGTTAAACCAATTGTTTAGAATGTAACTGTAGAATAAACTGTGGTAGAACGAGAGTTAAAGAGAAGAGGCGTGAGTTCTAATGAAGGAAAAGTTTATTTACCATCTGGACCCAGCACCCTGAGACATGAACTCTGTAGACACTGTCATAATGTGTCTATTCCAGGCTAGCGCAGGCCAGTCTGGATATTCTGGATACTCTTCTGTTGTAGGGAGTGTAAAGATTTGTGTATTTTGAATGCGGTGTGGGGGGGGGTATGATTTATTATATTGTCTTGGATGTAAATTAATCACGATATATGTTTTTAGCTCTTACAGTGACTATGTGCACGGAAAATAAATACATGGAAAAGGCACATTCATCTCTATGAGCTATTATTCATCTAAGGCTGCTACAAGGGAGTTTTATACCTCTGACGAGCGCACTGAGAGTCTTCAGCACAGAAGGAATTTCTCTAACAATTTTTTCCTCTCAAACCTTTACACCAAAAAAAGAAAGAAAAAAAAAGAAAAGAAAAGAAAAGAAAAAAGAATTCAGGAAATCTCAAAACTGAACCTAAATCAAAGTTACTTAAAAAAAATATATACCAACAACGGAAGCATACTCAGCGATGGATTTCAATGACTAATAGTCAGTTCATGCTTATAGTTTTAAAAAGTATCTCCATTTTCTCCACACTGAGCAACTTGCTGTCTCAGTGACATGTGATATGCAGTTCATAGTCCATGTGTCATGAAGATCTCCAAGGGCCATGGTAGACTCCCATGATCTCTGACCTCTGACCTCAAGGTGTGTCTGAGAATATTGTGCCAACACACAAGTTCACTAATAGTGCCCATTTTGTCTCCTTTGGTCCTTCACAGTCTTCTTCAAACACAGTGACTGGTAATGTTATATTTGAATGTACCTCATTCATAAACCTTAATATTTCTAAACCCAAATCCAAATGAAACATTTGAGCAGACTGGCTTCTTCTTTGTTTCCCCAAATTAACTAACACTCAGTTCAACTCAGCCCAATCACTCCACCCCCTGAGAGCAATTCAGAAACACCTCTGGGATAAATAAAGTCACCGAAGCAAATCAAATTGAAGTTTTAACAAAGCAGATGTTCAGACATTACCATTTTATGCTAAACATGTATTAAAACACCATTACCTTGGCTCAGAGTTATTCAGCTGTGTCAAGAAACACATTTGAGATCTCAGTGTTTTTATGTTGCCAATTAGGTGTTATTATTTACATATTTCAAAATTTTTAAAATGATTAAAATCTAATTTTGGAGAAAAATAATTACCTGTGCATATATGAGCTCTTATGTTTTCTGTCAACCACCTCATTCACCACTCCTGACATACTCCTCTTCATCTTGTGGCCCATCTGTGGAAGGAATGTTGTTACGCATTTTAAACACTCACATCATTCTCTGATCAAACCATTTGTAATATTTAAATCATCATTCTGTTATCTTTTTGTGTAGCCAAGTAATATCGAATGAATAATAATAATAATAATGAATAATAATATAGTAAATATATTTTACTTTCAGTTAATTTGCTTACCCAAAAGGATACAGGTGTTAAAGATTCCTCTGGAAATCTGGAGCAGCACACTATTGTCTTCACAGCTCAGTTTTGTCTCCGTGTGAACATTTAGTCTCCCTGTAAATACAACAAATAGACTCTGACTTTCAGCTCCCATCTAGGATCCTGCACCATCCTTTTCTCTGTGAGGAAAGTGATTATTTAGTTATTAACCTGAAAAGAAGAAGGAATGGATTAGAGCATGTTATACACTCAATATTATCATTATGTAGTTATGTAGTTATTAAAATGGTATTGTCCTGGTCACGTGTTAAATGTTTTAAACCTCTAGACTTTTGTTCTATAGTTTTAAGACTCACCCACACAACTTGTTTGTCTACTATATTTGGTTTTACCGTTGTTATTACAAGAGTCATTATGACAGTTACCAAGACAGAGCGAGCCAACAGGCTCTGTCCCTCCTCTCTGTCTCTCTTCTATCTTCCTCCTCTTTCTCCTTCTTCTTTGTTTGAGAGGAAGGAGAGCATGATCCCTCCTGGGCTCCTGGTCTGTGAGATGAAGCCTGTCTGCCCATACATAGTTTGGTAATGACACTGCATTTGAACATGAATAATGTTCATAAGGTTGTTTTGAATTATGTCAGATTTAGATATATTTCAGATACCTTACCATCACTCAACAACCGACTGTAGTATTTATTTATATTCTGAATTGAGTCAATGTATCACTTTAAGCAAAATTAAAATAAAAATTAACCAACTCTGCAAAAACATCTCTGATACATATTATGCATATTCATATTATATCAGTACTGTGTAAAAAGTCCTTTGCCTCTGGGCCTCCCCATAAACTCTGTTGGAGATCTCCAGTCACTGTGATGTCAGGCAGGAGCTCCGTGCAGTTTTTAAATCCGTAAATTATTACCAGTTCGTTAAGTCAGATTGTTTACTTGAAATTAACATGTTCAGACATGGCTGTGGTTTTCTTGTTTAATTGTTTGCACTGGGGTAATTCCCTCTTCAGTAGAGAACAAGCTGCTCCACATTAGAGAATATTGAGCACAGTGGCCGTGAAATTATGTTAGTATTTTTATTTTTTTTTACTTCGGCATTATTTGAAGTTACAAATAGTGAAGCTCTAAAGACCTCAAGACCATGTTTACAGACAAATAGCAAATAGCACATACTTTATGTTTTTTAAACCGTTAACCACCACCACACCTATTCCTCGCTTCCTGCTAATCTACTCAGAAAAACATTATTGGAATCCACATTTAACCACAGGCTTTTGCCATTTCCAATAGAAAACTAGATGAATATAAATATAATCTACCCCAGTTTCACACCAGCCAGTATACAGGCTATTTATCTGTCAAGCATGAGTCTTGTTAATAAGGCAATGTCTCCTTCCATTTTGCTAAAGGAATATTTGCACCAGATTAAGACTGTGTTGTTTGTACTTTTTTTGTGATGCCTGTTGTAGAATAAACTTTAGTCACCTGAGAGTTAAAGAGAAAAGGCATGACGCATGAGCTCTCCAACTTTTTACACCAAATAAGAAAATATTTTTTTTTTTCCGAGTATCACCAGATCTAAACCAGGTTTATAACAGGACTATACCAGGTCTAATTTAAGGTTAAACCAAGTGTAAAAATAGACTATATAATTTCCACTGTAGTCCTAAACATGAAATTAGCTGAAGGAGGACAGCAAAGTAATGAAATGAACTCTATGTTATACAAACCCACAAACTGAAGTGCTGCCCAAGTGCCACCGGAAGGAGTTCACGTACCACCAGTGGTACATGTTCCACAGTTTGAGAAACCCAGAGGCACTCTTCAGCTCTTATTTATCCAGAATCTAATGAACAGTAGTATTTTCATGAACACTCACTGCCAGTTTAATATTTATTCATATCTGAAACAAATGAAAACTACTCAAAAGGTTTTTCTATTGGCCACCAGGGTATTCATCACACAAACACAGACAGAGGCTTAATAACCAGATTTCAGTGGTTACTTTATTTCCAAATAATGTGATTAGTCACATACAATATTACATTTTCTTTTCCTTTCTTTTGACAATGATCAGTACTTATGACCTGCAGTACCCCTGGTTTAGGAGAGCCACTCATCACCTCTAATCAGATCAGTGCATTTTCTGCATTACATCACATTTCATAACCTCCGAATATTTGTTTGGAGCTACGCAATATGTTACAATTAACAAAGATGCGGTTTCATCCTAAATATTTCTTTTAAATCTAGTTACAAGTTTAATTTTTCTCTGTGGCGGGCTGAGATGAGGAAGTTGTCAAGGCCCTTATTGGCTCATCCGTTTTGGTGTTTGCGTGTTTATGCAGTGTTCCTCACGGAGTGAACTCTGTTATAATTGAAATGTATTTATAGATGATGATGTTATTGTTACAAAGTGTGTGGTGGAGGCAGATCAAGTTTAAGGTGCATGTGAACAGTGGAGCATCTGCAGAATTAGGAGCATTACACAAAACACAAGGGACAAATGAGGAAGGAAAGACCGGTTTGTTGAGATGAACACAGCTCTTGTAGTAGACTAATGCAGACATGTCAAAGGTTCAGAAAATGAGCTTGTACTACCAGCTTATGTAAACATAGGCATTAATTTAATAAAAAAATATTATATGTAGTGCTGTCATGCGATTAAAAAAATTGAGAGATTAATTAATTATGATCTGTAATTAATTAATCTAATTAATCTCTTTTTAATCTCACCTAAAAATTGCTGAGAAAAGCCTTCAATTTGAGGTATTTTCATTTAAATTCATTATTACATTATTGTGGCAGATCAAAAGACTGATATAGAACAAAAAAAGTGACTTTATAAAGTCATTTATTGTTTAACAAATCTCTCCAAATTGGCTGTTGAGCCCAAGTCTCCATGAATAAGAAACTGTTTGCTGTAAAGTAGCAAAGACGAGGAAATCTGAACATAATAACTTTTGTCTACTTAAAGACAATAAAAAGTCCAGTCTTTCCTTAACCATATGAAAAATATTATTGATAGAGAAATGCTTTATATATGAGATCACTGGTTTTAGTCCTTGTTTTAGTCCTGGTTTAGACCTGCTTTAGTCCTACTTTAGTCCTAGTTTAGTCCTGGAATGGGTTAGTCCTGGTTTTAGTCCTGGTGTTAGTTCTGGTTTAGTCCTGGTTTAGTCCTGGTTTAAACCTGGTTTAGTCCTGGTTTAGACCTAGTTTAGACCTGGTTTAGACCTGGTTTGGTTGGTTTGTGTGCGTGTCCCCTCATGTGGCAGGTCACTATAGGACAGTAGTGAAGACATCATGAGCCTATGCAGGTTGTTTTCACCAGCGACATTTAAGTTGTAGGCGATATTATATTTGTTATTTTCTTTTATATTTCACGTCGGGAGAATAATTTCCAAGACACGAATGCGTTTTTACCTGTGCACTGCTGACTCTGTTCTACTGGCTCTTCGTCCTCGTCCATTGTGCGACTGACGCCACCAACATGACGTTTACGTCGCTCTTACTGCGCGCATTTTGTGTGGGTTTCCGGCAATGAGTGGAATTACCGAAATAAAAAAATGTATAAATGTGTTTTTTGTGTGAGTGTGTGTGTGCTGTTGTCCCAACAACACATAAAAACAGATTTTATAATAAAGCAACTTGCATACAGAAACACTAAAGTTAGAGATTAAAAATGAGATTAACGCGATTAAAAAACATAACGCGCTAAATATGACTGCAATTAATTAATCGCAATTAACGCGATAATTTGACACCCCTAATTATATGTTATTTTGCTAATACATGTTAAGTCTCTTGAATAATTAACATTTCATTATACCAAATGCAACACTATATAGACTATATAGGGTATAATTTTGTAATGAATAGGGATTGATTAATAATATTAATATAATAGTTTTTCTTCTTCCTACTCCTTTTTGAGAAGTTAGCTTTTCTGTTGTACAGTTTGTGACTATGTAAATTATGTCTTTTTTGGTACAAACTCTACATACATGTTACTACTCCATTCATTCCACTGAGACAATTTCTGACATTGTCACACCACCAGGGTTGGAGCAGAGGCTGCGCTACCATTAGGTAACAGTAGGCAGCCACCTAGGGCCCCCCAATCAATTGCCCTCAGTGCCACTAATGGCTGATTTTCTCTCAATATGACATTAAATGAGAGTAGTTTTTAAACTTTTAAACAAGAAAACATATAATATATATAAAAAAAACTTTTTTTTCATCCCAAATAACCAAAACACATGTATTTCTATGACAAATGTTGGATGTTGCCATGGAAAAGAAAAGACAGGCATGTCCTCATTGGATTTTCAGTATGATGTTTGGAATATCTGGGCCAAATTTCGATGGGCTATGACAAACTTTTTTTTCCCAATAGCTTTTTCCCTTTTTCCTCCCAAGTAGCCAAAACCCATGTATTTCTATGACAAATGTTGGATGTTGCCATGGCAAATAGAAGTATGTCCTCAGTTACTTTTTTGTTCAGTATGGGATGGATAATGTGTGTGGCAGTTAATGGAATGTGAGAAACAATTTTTTTCTGCCCATAGATGGTGCTACAAAGATATTAACAACATTTTCACCAGACCTGAATGTTTTGTCAAAGGTGCACTATGTAACTTTTTGGTTGGGGGTCTGTCACATGCTTCTTTCTATGAATATGTCATTGCTCTGCCTGGAATGTTCCAACATATGACATTAAACAGCCCTACCTTACATTTATTAAATTACAAGTGATTTTATAGCTCGAAAAATCTAGAAAAACCCACATTCTGACTTCTGTAACTTGGTCTGGTTTGGTCTCTGTGAAGATACAAAGGTTTAATATCATACTGTGAAACATTCCAGACAAAGCATTAACATCTTCATGGAGAAAGATGTTACACAATGCACCTTTAACACTCAACATTTCAACATTTTTGGTTACTATTTGATTTTCTGGGCTGGCAGATTAAACTATTTATTCATGTAGTGATTTATTGAGTCACCTTACTATTCTTTATGTGCTTATTCTAGTCTCATAATAAGGCCAAACATACACATATATAAATCTCATAGCTGTTCATTCCTCTGCACTGGTAATAATAAAAATGCCCAGGTGCACGTAGGACAAAGAAAGCTCCAAAAGCCCGTGACAGTGTTGCTAACATATTTGTATCTCACCTCATTTCACAGGTGTCTGTTAGCGTGTCCACATTCAACCTGGTGGCTATCTCCCTGGAGAGATATAGTGCCATTTGCAACCCTCTCACCTCTCGGACGTGGCAGACCAAATCCCATGCTGCCAAGGTCATCACGGCGACCTGGGTAGCGTCTTTCCTCCTGATGTTACCGTACCCCATCTCCAGCACGCTCAAGCCCTTCACCCGCCTCAACAACAGCACTGGGCACATGTGTCGTCTGGTCTGGCCCAATGATATCACCCAGCAGTCATGGTGAGAGAATCTGTAACAAGAAATTTTGAGAGAGTTCCTTAAAGGTGCATTGTGTAACTTTTCTGGTGGATAGTCCATCAAACCCCACTCACAGTCAGAATGTCTGTTTTTCTAGGTATTTTTGAGCTATAAAACTACCTGTAATTGAATAAATGTAAAGTGGAGCTTTTTAATGTCATACTGTGGAACATTCCAGTCAGAGCAATGACATAGCCATAGAAACAAGCAGGTGACAGACCCCAAACCAGAAAGTTACAAAGTGCAACTTCAGAGGTCCTGTATTACGCACAATCATCTCTTGTGTTATAATGTTGTTACCTTGACAAAAACATACCTGGAGCTGTGTTTTGTTTTGTTTTTCACACATGTTTGAGTAATACTTTATTATTAGTTTGATTCCAGGGCTGAAATTATTGAAATGTCTCTGCTAAAGGTCTATGGAGTTTAGAGGGTCCGTATTATGCTATTTTCTGATCTATGTTATAATGTTGTTTCCTCTTCACATCCATACCTGGAGTTGTGTTTTGTTTCCTTCACACATGTTTAACACACAAATCCTGCTATATTTAGGCTGAGCTCTTCTCTCAAACAGAAAACACTCTTCCACCTTGTGATGTCATATGGTAATACACTGTGTATTTATACTTCATACACCTTCACTAGAATCATTTGGATGATTACAAACCTGGAAATGTCCATTGTTACTGAACTAATACTAAAAAGTAGCTGTTAACGTGAAAACTACTGCATGGCATCACAAAATGGAACAGAACATTTTGAGTTCCAAAGATATAGGCAGATAGCCAGGTTGGCGCCCCCTAGTCCATTCAAATAAATTTCTCTCCAGCGACTAGGCCAGGAATCAGAATACACTAGACAGTTTGAAAGAACCCTGGAAGTTGTAAACCACGCACCGTCCAATCAGCGCAGAGCTGTGAAGTGATGACGTCAAACTCAAGCACCTGTCTGGGTCCCTTCTGTGGTACAGCACAACAGTAATCAAAGCGGTCGAGATGGATGTAGATGAAGCCAAACATTCTGTGTTGGCAACGATTCCCGAGATCGAGGATTTAAAGCTGGAACAAAGAGAATGTTTGGTGAATTTTATCAAGGGGAAAGACGATGGTTTCTACGGAGTGAAACCGTCTGATGAATCAGGCTAGTAGACAGACTAACAATAACGGATTAGTTAAACATGTGTGAATGAAACAAAACACAACTTTGGGTATGTTTTGAGGTAACACCATTATAACCTGGCTTTCAGCTCACCAGATAATATAGGACATATAAATGAACACTTTTACTGTAAATGGGAGTACACTAGATCTACTCCATACACTGAGGTTGCATCGAAGGGCTCAGTCGGTTTTGTGGATGTGGAGTAGGCGTTCAAGGATTCTATCTCGCACATATAAATACTGCAGTTTTGTCCTTGGGCAAGTCACTTAACCCAACTTGCCCCCAGTTTCTACAGAGAAAGGTGTATGAATGGGTGAGTGGTTCCTTGATGTAAAAGTGTGTTGAGTGTCTTGAAGGTAGATGTGACTGTTTATTATGCAGAAAATAGCATCTATGTTATTGTTTCCTCATCAAAAACATACCTGGAGTAGTGTTTTGTTTTATTCATACATGTTTAACACACAAATCCTGCATATCTAGGCTGAGTTCTTCTCTCAAATAGAAAACACTAGTACACATTGTGATGTCCTGTAGTAACACAAGAAGTGCTCTACTGTGTGCACACACCTTCCACATTTTCAGCCTTTGAATTGCCAATTTCTACAAACAAAAGGTAAAATGTGCTGTTAATTTGAAAAATACCACTTCATGACATCACAAGACAGAACAGAGCTTTTCCAGTTTTGGAGATGTGGGAAAACGAATAATAACGGGTTAATCAAACATGTGTCAATGAAACAAAAACACAATTCAGAGTATGTTTTTGAGGAGGTAACAACATTATAACATGGATTAAAGCTCACAAGAGTCAAATGTGCGTAATATAGACCCTTTAATAACCCCCTATTAAGGACTGTCCGGCCCCTGAATGACCATTGCAGGATTTGTGCTCACATTACCAGAGATTATTAAATCAGACCTGTTGCATTCACTCGTCAATCACCTCATCAGAATAATGACTAAACCTGGAAATAAACCTGGACTCCACCAGGTCTAAACCAAGGCTACAACTGGACCAAACTCAAATCAATGTTAGTTCTCAAGGACTTATTTCTATGCTTATATTTTACTATCATTATTATTATTGTTTCATGCTGCACCATATCAACAAAACACATTCCTAGTTTGTGAATTTAGGTCCCAATGACAATCTGAAAATGTCTGAAAACTGGGCCCAAAATAGAAGTATAAACACATCATCAAAAACATATCAAAATTGGGACTAAATCTGGAAATAAACTTAGACTACCCCAGGTCTCAAGGACTCAATTTTGATATTTTGCTGTCATTATTGTTGTTTTATGCTGCGCCATCACCAAAACAAAACCGAGTTTGACAATCTAAAAATGTCTTATTCATTATTTTTATTCAGAATTGTGAATAGCTATCAGTGGGATTTGAGAATTGAGGAAAACCAGGGGTGGGATTTAATAGGTTTTCTTCTTCCCACTCCTTTTTTGAGCTCAAATAAGAAAAAAATGAAAGGTAAATTAAAGGTGCACTGTGTAACTTTTTGGTTGGGGGTCCGTCACCTGCTTGGATATTCATTGCTCTGCCTGGAATGTTCCATAGTAAGAATGTAGCTGTCATTTACATATATTCAATATATGTAATTATATATTATAAGTGGTTTTATAACTCAAAAATACAAAGAAAAATGTATATTGACTGGGAGCATGGAGAAAAGAATCTGACGAAGCCTCCACCAGAAAAGTTGAAAAGTACACAATGCACCTTTAAGCGTACTGATTCATGTGCATGTCTTGTCTTCATTTCTCTGCTCGAAATAAATAAAAACATGGAAAAAAATGAAAATGAAATGAATAAATGCATTGTGATTCTGACTTGTCCATTTTATGACTATGTCCCCTGCAGGTATGTGTCTCTGCTACTCATCCTCTTCCTCTTCCCGGGCATAGTGATGATGACTGCATACGGCCTTATCTCCATGGAGCTCTACAGGGGAATCAAGTTCGAGCTGTCGAGCAGGAAGGCCAGTCGGGGTATGAAAATGAAACGCACTCATAACAGCTTCGCTACAAAATGAGTGCATGACCTACATAGTGTTTCCTATGGCCAAATAGCATCTGTTTAGAGGAACATATGGTTTTCACATGGGGGAAAACAGCATGGGAAGGGATTAGATCATTCGGTGTATTGTTACTGAAGAAAATCTCTAGTAGCTCATAGTACAGTGTTATTGTTATGACTGCTTAATAGTCTAGTGTATAGTGTAGGTCTTTTGTGAAGAGAGATCAAGTTCAGACCAAACCTGCGCCTGAAGTTTGCCAGTAGTGAGTTTAACACAGACAGACATGAGTTACAACTAATTATGACATGGAAACAATATTGAGAGAGAGAGAGATACTTTATTGATCTCGAGGGAAATTCAGGTTTTGCTGCAGCAACATTTCCACTGTGCGTCTCAGTTGCCTTTGTGTTTCAGTCAAAGGTCTCAGTGCAGTTTAACAGCAGGACTGGTCAGGTAGGGTCTGTAGATCCTGTCTAAGAGCTAAAATGTCCCTCCTCTGTAACTTGAAGCATCACAGCACTGTCCAGGTGAACACAGCAGGAAAGTCTTCACTCTTACTTCACTCTGTTGTTTCAGTTGGCAATGAAATGGTCCATTTCCTCAAAGTATTTCCTCTGAAGGTCTTGTGCCACATTTGCTGCCACATATGGAGAAAAAGCCTGTAGCATCTGAAATGTCCTTAGCTAGCTCCTTGCAGGGTCCCCATGGATACAAGACAAACAAACAGCTCATTTCACACAATCCAACAGTTCCTAATTTGTGTCCTTGAACTGCACATACTACACTTCTTAGTTTGTTAAAATTCCATGATAAAACAAAAAGTTTTAAAAATTGCTGTGCTCAAAAGCCAACTCAACTCCAGAAATCAGATAATGATAACTTGTTAGTTAAGTCTCAGTCGAAAAATAGAAACATATTCTTATCATGTGGTTTGTTCACATTTTTGCATGATGCTAACACAACACAACCAGCGAGTATTCTGCTTTGAAACTACTGCTGCACATTGCATTACACATTGTTTGTAAAGTTAGAGTAGTATTTTAGCATTTTGTACCCTGTTTTGGTGCACTCATGAAAAATGGCCATGCTGGAGGTGTGGGCAAGATTACTCAAACATGCACTGATAACAGATAAAACCACTTCAACACTTTCATGTTTTTGATGGGGAAACAACTTTATAAAATGGTAGAGAGCTCCAAAAAGTCGCTTTTCTTTAAGAGGTCTACTTTGAGTTTCTTGTGCAGAATATAAAAACTATATAGGTAATAGTTATGTAAAGCCAACAAACATAATTTGCATTTAAGTGGTTCGTTTCCTTGAGGGGAATTCCAATAGTGCTGCTTAAGTTCATACCCCTCACATCAGGCTGACAGCTACAGCCTCACAACTGAAGAGCTCATTCTGAAAAGTGACATGAAAGGAGGCCATTCAACCCTCTCCACACTCTCCACAATTCCACAAAAATTACTAAACTTCTCTCAAATAAAAAAAAAATCATTTCCACCTTGTGATGTTAGAATCCATGAAGTGCTCCACTATGTTTTTAAACTGCATACATTTTCATTAGAAATCAATTGGATGATTTCAGCCCTGGAATTGCCAATCTCTACTGAACTAAAGGCAAAAGGTAACGGAAAAACTACTTCATGACATCACAAGGTGGCACAGAGCATATTACTCAAACATGTGTAAATGAAAGAAAACACACTTCCAGGCACACACAAGGGGACAACAGTAAAACACTAACACACAGAGGAATTGGCGACACCGAAAAAAACAGAATCAAATCAATCATAATTTTAGCTGAACTTGCCAACATAACTTATTTTGTTCATATACAGACTTTTCTTCATGTCTAACAAAGGAATCACAGATGTAGCCTGAAGAAGTCAAAACTTATCATTTCCCCCTCTCCTCCTCACACACAGATCGCCAGTCCAGCACTGGCAGCATCAAACCAGGAGACAGTGACGGCTGCTACCTCCAGCCCTCAGGCAAGAAAAAGAGCTTCTCACATTTTTCTAGCTCCAAGCCTGTGGTGGGCAGAGTCTGTAGTACAAGCCCCACGGCCAACCTCATGGCCAAGAAACGAGTCATCCGAATGCTTTTGGTCATCGTCTTCTTGTTCTTCGTCTGCTGGACCCCCGTGTTTGTGGTCAACGCCTGGCAAGCTTTCGATCGCCGCTCGGCCTACCAGCTGACAGGAGCCCCCATCTCCTTCATCCACCTTCTGTCCTACACCTCGGCCTGCGTCAACCCCATCATCTACTGCTTCATGAACAAGAGGTTTCGTCAGGGCATGCTCTCCACCTTTAGCTGCTGCGCCCAGAAACAAAACGGATCTCTGGGGAGGTCCGCCGGGACAGTTAGAGGAGAGGGGGCGATACGGGCAAAAGCGGAGCAAAATGGTCATACGCCGCCAAGTGGGGCCGTCACGAAGTTTACATACACAGGAGTCCGAACGTCAACCTGGAATGAGATGACTTAAATTGAAGTATTTTATTCATACATCGAATGACTTTTAAGTGAGTGGTGTACACGTAAGATTGTACAGGTCTTGTGAAGGACAGGTATCTCAAGACAAAAAAAAGTACAAACTTTGGTATTTACTTAAAAGCGCACTATGTAACTTTTTTGGGGGGATCTGTCACCTACTTCTTTCTATGGATATGGCATTCCTTCACCTAGAATGTTCCACAGTATGACATTAAACACTTGTTAAATTGACCTAGAAAACCAAAAATTCTGACTCAGATTGTGGTTGACTCTCCACAGATCTGACCTGTAACTTGGTCTGATTTGGTTTCCGTGATGATAGAAAGGTGAAACATTCTAGACAAAGCAGTAACATCTCGACGGAAAAAATAATTTGACAGGCCTTCCACCAGAAAAGTTACACAATGTGCCTTTAAAGGGATTACAAAAGCAGGATGTGTTTCATGTTAGCAGCTACACGTGGCTACAAAATGAATGTTCAAAAAGTCTAATTTAACTTTGTCAGCTGTTTAGCACTTCAGATAGCCAAATCAGTAAGACTTTTTTTTTTTAAAGTAATGCAAATCAGAATTTTGTTTTGTAATTTGTTAAACCTTTTATATTGGAACTTTATTTTAATTTTAATGTTGACTTTCTCTCTTGTTATTACTATTATCACAATCCCGTTACCGTGGTCCATGAGATATTTACTTACTTAATCAGAGACATTTCTATATTCTTAAATACATGAAATACATCAAATAAAATAAATATTACATGTTAATAATAAACATATGTTTAAATTTTGATCACAACTAGTCAAATTAACATATAATACTTATAGGTTACATTCACATTTCAGAGTCTGATGCCGTCATGATCTCAGATGGAGGAAATGGCTTATATAACTCTAAGAGGGTTATATATTTGAAAGCCCAAACATAAACATCAAGTTTAACCTTATAATTATTTGAGGCTGACTCTGGGGCTGATTCCAGAAACATACTAACTTCTCTCAAACAGAAAACACTAATTTCCACCTTGTGATGTTATAATACATGAAGTGCCCCACTGTGTTTTTAAATTCCATACACCTTCACTAGAATCATTTGGATAATTTCAGCCCTGGAATTGCCAATCTCCACTGAACTAAAGGTAAAAGGTAAGTGTTAACTGAAAAACCATTTCATGACATCACAAGGTGGCATGGATCATGTAACTCAAACATGTGTAAGTTATTAGGTTCTTTTTTCAGACCAAGAGTTTGTTTTCATACCTGACAGTGTCGACTGCTCACTAACGGTCTTCCTCAGAGTGGTCACGTGATGTTGCTGTGATGTGTGCGGTCAGCTGATTTATACAGGTTTTGTCGCTCTCTTCCTACCGGTGGAGGTAGGAAGATAGCGCTACCTGCAGTCCGACTTCCTCAGGACAGTATCCCAGGTGTGTGAGAGTAAAAAATCCCCCTCGTCCTGGTTTATAGTCCCGTGAGCATGTTTCCGTATTTCGATTGCCTCTTTAATCCAGCAGCAGGTTTTGTTATCCTCTGTCTTGATGTTTGCTCTGTCTCAGTCCATAATGTGGTTCTCTCTTTTACAGTGGTCAGAAATGGCCGATTTGAGTTGTTCCTGTTCTGCTTTGTGTTTTGTTGCTTGTGTGCATGCCTTTGCTGTTTCCTTCTCGCATTCTGTCGCAACATCACATGACCACTCTGAGGAAGGCCACTAGTGAGCAGTCAAAATTGTCAGGTATGAAAACAAACTCTTGGTCTGAAAAAAGAATCTAATAACATAAATTATCAAAAGACCAAATGAACCTCATTGAACTCAAACATGTGTAAATGAAACAAAACACTACTTTGGTTATGTTTTTGATGAGGTAACAACATTATAACACGACTAAAAGCTCAAAGAGTCAGTTTTGTTTAATATAGGACTTTCAAAGCGCAAAAAGTCTTTAAAAATGTTTCTTTAAATTATTATTGATTACACAAAGCTTATATACTGTAATCCTGGATGAAAGATCACGTTTGAGCATGGAGGGGCCCAGTGTCAAATGTTATAGAGTAAGTCTGAAGTCATGTTTCCTGAAGGCATTTGGTCATCCCTCTTTCCATTACTCACTTCAGAACAAGTGCATCTGGAGTTCAGCAGTCGTCCTTGACCTTATGTGTTTGTCCACTTTCTGTTACGGGAAATTTAAGTCACCTTATCTTGTGGGACTCACACCACCTGCACGCTCTGTTTCAAAAAGCAAATTCTCGGCATTACCATCCAATTTCCATTTACTGGAGTTTAAAATAGCAGCATAAATGTAGCAGCTATGTTTTTTTTTATTTTCTTACTTGGTGAAAATTGTTTTATTTTAATGTGTTCAATGGATTCTTCTATACAGTTTGTGCATGTGCCTATTTCTATGTATTAAACCTGCAGGCAATATGGAATAAAACTGAGATGACTGCGGACGCTAAGCTCATGTCATCTCGCCTTGAATGTAAAACAATAGCAGCCATTTTAAAGCTTTTTGTATACGTCTTAATGGATTTGTGTTAGTACAGGTATATAGCCTTAATATACAGTATATTTACCAATTCCTTGGATCTAGTGTGTGCCTCTGTGAACTTTTAAAGGGATAGTACATTAATGTGTTATATTTGTGAAATAGATGTTCTTTTTTTTTTTTTGTTTGGAAAGGAAACAGGAGCAATTCAAAGTAAGGGGGTTGATAAAAATATAACAGCCAAGAGCTCCTCCAAGACCTTTATTCTGGTATATTGTATAGACTTGGTACTAGAACCTGGCTGTCTAAATGAAGGCTAATGAGCATTAACATAATTTGTCTGTTTTTTATTCAATGGCATGTTTTCATAGCTCAAAAATACCTTGAAAAACACAAACTTTAATTGCCACAGATGTGATTTTGAACCATTTGCAGTAGGTCATTAAAAAACACATTCTTGTAGCTTTAATTCACTTTTAAATAGGCTTTTAAGATTCATAAGAATTTCACATTGTCTATCTTAAAAATGTCTACGAAACACACTACAAAACTAAACCTAGGAGTAGGAGCTCCCTCTGCTGTCAGCAATGGGAATGAACAATGAGAAAATAAACTAAATTAAATTGATTATGGACTTGTGTGTTCATAGTCCAAATTCATAGGCTTAAAAACTGAACAGAAGAAACCTGAATTTTTACCTGTGATGCAACAATCTGAGCAGAATGCAAGCAGAGCATTTTTTAGTGCTCAGAGATGACAACTTTGCATTAATGGATTAACATAAATTTAGTAAAATACAACTTCAGGTATACACGGGACAACAACAAAACAAAATGTTGTCCAGTTTTGTGTTTCATTTAACTTGCTGATATCGTATTCCTGGATGTCTTAAAAGTCGCATAATTTACTTTTGCATATCTGTATACTTGTCTCTCCATAGCGACAAGCCGGTGGCGGTCTATCCACCTGAAAAATTACATTGTGCGCCAGATTTACAAAGTGTTCAGAAAAAGATCTTTGGCCTTACGGTAAATGGTTGCATTTTTATATGGCGCTTTTCCACTTTCAAGGCACTTTGCATCAAGGACCCACTCACCCATTCACACACACACACACACACACACATTCTTCAGAATACAGACACTGGGGGCAAGGTGGGTTAAGTGTCTTGCCCAAGGACACAACGACAGCATTCATCTGTGGGAGCTGGAATCACACAAGCCAACCTTCAGATCAGTGGACAAACGCTCTTACCGATCAAGCTACAGTCGCTCTTATCGAAAACTCGTGACTGTCCTATCCCTTTAAAATACTCAAATGAAGTTTACCTGGAATTGTGTGCAAAATTGTGTAAATGTAAATACTCATTAAAAACAATACACGGTTAACATTTTATATCACGTTTTTATTCTCATTTTTATGCCAATATTGCAAGTTTTTTCTCATTTTTTTCTTCTTTTAATGACATACAGATTTGAGCATGGTCTGGAGCTGCAATATGTACAAAAACAAACTAATGTTATAAAAAAAAAAAAAAAAAAGAGTCCCCTTTTGTTTATTTATTGCTAAATGTTAACAAACGGCACAGGTTTCTACCATCAGCAACCCTTTTGAGCATATCTACCACAACGACACCTCGGCGCACCACTTTACTAGTTCAATACATTATTACAGTGAGTGTAGGAAGAAGTGACGAGCCGGAACATGGAAAAAAGTGAATCCAAGCTATGCAAGAAGACAGTATCGGAAGTATAGGAAATAAGCGAGAATATTCCAAATGTACACATGAAAGTATTGTTGAAAAGTCTGGAAAGAAGTTAATGGTAGCGTCTAGTGCAAACAGCCATGAAAGTCTTTAAGGAGAAGTATAAGGCTGAGTGCGACAAAAGGACTCCACACTCTTTAGTTTTTTTAATAGTTTAAAGCTGCCACTCACTCTGCCCTGTTTTGTTTAGCAGTGCATGAAAACTACATTATAAAAAGACATTTGGCATATTAGAGGATACATACATTGTTCAGAGCTCATTAAAAATAAACAATAACACAAATGAACAGCTGCTTTCGGAAGTAGAGTACATGATAAACGCGTGGAGAGAGAGAGAAGCGGTAAGTGTGTGAAGAATACAGCAAAAAGGCATGTAACATCATCACCCCTTTTTAAACAGAACATTTCGGTACTACTTCATAATAATTACAGTTTATTTAGGCTCAGTATAGCACGGGCAAATTGTTTATTAAAATGATTCATAATTAGTAACTATTTAATAAAGAAGTTTGAAGTTGGAGGCAGCTAGTAATTAAATGGCCCATATTATGATATTTTATAATGTTTCCTCAAAAACATCCCTGGAGTTGTGTTTTGTTTCATTCACACGTGTAACAGACAAACCCTGCATATTTGGGCTTCTTCTCTCGAACAGACAACACTCAAACACTCTGGTTCACCTTGTGATGTAACGTGGCAATACAGGAAATACTCCACTGTGTTTTTAAACTGGATACATGTTCACTGGAATCATTTGGATGATTTCAGCCCCGGAATTACCCATCGCTACTGAACAAAAGGTAATTGTTAACTTGAAAACTACCACTACATGACATCACAAGGTGGAACAGGGTATTTTGAGGTTTAGACATTTAGAGACAAATTAATAATAATGTGTTACTCAAACATGTGAATGAAACTAAACACAACTTCAGGTGTGTTTCTGAGGTAACATAACTAAAAGCTCACAAGTGTCAATTTTGTCCAATACAGGACCTTTCAGTAATTTCTATGAATAAAGTTTGTGTTCATGCCATTACTAGCTTATTAAAGTGTAGTTATTATAAAGAGTTACAGAAATTCCTTTAGTTCAAACTGTAAACCAGCTCAGATTGTCAGGACAACGCACTCATACGCATCGCCCCCCGGAGAGCCAATGTAACCATGTGTCCGAAACAAGTGTGAAGAATGGGGAAACACTGCTCCACATGTAAACAACAGTTACTGAAGGTGGAGGGGAAGTGGTCAAATTGAGTTTAAATGAAACAAAAGAAACAAGTTTGTTTAAGATTTGGAGACCGTGTGCAGAGTAAAGGGTTCAAATAGTTGGCCTCGTAAAAGGGCAACGTGAAGAAGACTTTATGTTTCAGGATGCTACACTGGAGCTGCAGCACCGTCTGGAGTGGTGGACTCACTGCACTCCCAGGCCAAACAGGCAGCAAGGGCCATAATGCACTTCTTTGTGACATAAGACAAAGGGACAAGGGAGTACCAATAATTTAAAAAATATACAATATAAAACATATAACATTAATAATTGACATGTGGGGCATAACTTAATCTGACTTTCTTTTTACAAGCAAATCCAGTTTGTTCTTTCTCTTATTTCAAGGCTTGGTTTGACATATTGAAGGACTTCATTAAACAGACATTCAAGTGACAGCAGACCTCGTCCTGTGGAGTTGGACTCAGATGGACTTAATACTGTGGACGTGTATGTATTGCCTCTGAATGTGTGTTTGCCTGGAGCAGACATTTAGGTTCTGGTGGAAGACACAAGTCTCAAGTTTGTTTTTGGGATTCACACTTTGAAATGGAGCGAGTCTGACTCAATTTTCCATTACAGCAACTATGCAAGACACACGCATACGCACACATACATATATATATTTTATATTTATATTTGCTGGCTGGTGAACTAGTGCTCAGGCGGACAAACAATGAAACACAAATGACCTGTACAGTATTGCTGTTGGAAATGCAATATTCAACAATACAGTTAGAAGGCTTTTAACTCCAACAGGAGGTGCTGTGAGTGCAACTACGGAACAGTGACTTTACATGTACATATAGTGTAAGTTTGAGCAAAGAGAAAACCACAGGAGCTTTGTAAAGGCTAGAAGGCTGACTCACAGATACTGTACCAAAGTGAAGGTGCTGCGCACCGCATGGTCATAAAAACAGGTTTGACTTTACACTGAAGAGAAGGCTGCTCGGCACAACAGCTGAGAAGAGGCCAGGCCACAGCGTGTCTGTGCTACGCACAGGTTCTTCCACGGTGAGTAAACAGCAGAGAGAAGGTGACACATTTGGAAATTGAAGTTATCGGTAAGGCCACATCAAATTGAAAAGTGTCTGTTCATCACACCCCACTTTGGAGAAGAGTGTCTGAAGCGGAGCACACTGGAAGACCCCCTGCAGGTGCAGCGAGAGCGCCCCCTGCAGGTGCAGTGAGAGCGCCACCACAGTCCTCCATGTTACTGATACTTGTACAGTGACCAACAGAGCGACAGATACAGGCCATTAGATATGTGATTGGGTCCACTGTGTACACAGTCAATATACAGTACTAAGGCTAGTTTGAGTCAATGACTACTTATTACATTAGTTTGAACATGTCTCGTAACCATGGAAGTCTTGTTCTAGGTTCTGCTATGGCTCCTGTCAGATGGACAGTACTTTAAGAGACATAGCCATGTAATAGTATTGCAGGCAAGGCAGAGGCATTGCTTAAAGCTTTTCTTTTAAAGACTTCATAAAAACCAATGATAAAAATAGGCCCTCTGAGGTTATTCCCCAATTATAAAACAAACAAAACAACCTTCGCTTATGTAAATACACAACCAAGACTTGAGATTTCCCAACAGAAGAAGAGAGTATCAAAAAGAAAAGTGAACTTCTGAGCACTGGGGGAGCAGGCGTTTGGAAGTTCACATAAAATACAGGCTGGGATTCTGGACCAGGGAACAGCGCCCGAGCTCAGAGGAAGAGTAGAAACTATTTGGTAACAAAAGTGTACTATATGTTTAATACAAAAAGGTATGGAGAAAAATGTACCTTTACTAAAGCTTATACAAGATCCTTGGTCCATAAAAACTATGCAATCGGCACATTTGTGTGTCCCTCTGCATCTGACAACATCACATCCACCTGCTTGGGAAACCACAATGGGAACAGTATAAAACAAGTGGTAGGCGGGGCTAAAGCGGCGTTCCCAACATGTGGGATGTATTTGGCGGCAGATGTTCTCACAGCTATAAAAGGTGCTGGTGCTCTGAGCCCGCCTCCAACAGGAAGTGGACGGGCAGGAGTGGGATTCTTTCGCCCCCTCCTGCTCCACTGCCCCACCTTTTCTTTGCATCCAAAAATTCAGCACTTTGAGGGAGTCTGTAAGTCCTTTGCAGTCTGTGTGTGCCGAGTTGTGCGTTAGGAGACCACAGCTGCAGCGGTGGAGGAGGTGGATGTGACCCCGGGGTTGGTACCAGCAGGGCCGTACACATTAGGGGGGTCCTGGCTGCTGTTGTTCAGGAGGCTGGAGTTGCCCGCGCGCAGTATGGCCCCTGCGGCGCTGCAATGTGGTCGGGGCCCTGGCTCTGGGGTGTAGGTGAAGGTGAGTGTGGTGGAGTAGATGATGCCGTCGTTCCTCACCAGAGTGACAGGCACCTGCACGGGCTGCCTCACCCAGCGCCAGCCCTCACGGAACGCAGAGATGTCAGGCACCACACACAGCATGCTCTCCGCACACCTGTAAGGAACAGTGAAGCGTCAGTTATGGGATCAGCAAATAAATACATCTTAAATTGCTCAAATGTACTGTTGGGCTGCTACTATTTTTATATAAAGGTGCATTCTGTAACTTTTAGGTGGAGGATCTGTTGCCTCCATAGAGAGGTTATTGCTTTGTCTAGAATGTTTCACAGTGCAGTGTTAAACCTTTCTGTCTGACCAAGTTACAAGTCAGATCTGTGGAGAGGCAACACCGCTCACAGTCAGAATGCCTGTTTTTCTATGTATTTTTGAGCTATAAAACCATCTGTAACTGAATAATTGTAAGGCAGACCTGTTTGATATCGTACTGTGGAACATTCCAGGCAGAACAATGACATATCCATAGAAACAAGCAGGTTACAGACCAAACAATCAAAAAGTTGCATAGTGCACCTTTAACTAAAATATGGTTATACATATGTAAATAACAACTGAGACTTTCAGCTGGTGGGACCATGACTTTTGACAATGTCTTGGGGCTTTGACAGTTCACAGTGAAGGGACAGGAGAGGACAGAGGGCTCACCTGTACATCGTCTCTGCCTCAACGTCTCCAAACCAAACCCGGAGTTGTGGAGTGAAGTTCTGCCCTGTCAGCTCCAGCATGGCTACATCCCCACCACCATTTAGCTGAAAACAAGACACACTTGGGTTAGCGCACTGAATGAGTATTATAATTATTATTTTCATGCAAAGGTAAATCTGTGTTGTACCTGTAAGCTTTCCACCACAGGCACAGGGGTGACAGGAGAGTGGACTGGGCCCATTCCCTCATAGAAAGTGTATTCAGCTTTATCCGTGCTGATGATTGTCCAGGAGGCGCCATCGTTGATCATCTCCTTGTTTGGTTCCTTTGGGCATGGAGTGGCCTGAAGAAAACAAGAAACAGTTAAGACAAAACAGCAGTATACATTTAGATAAATGTACTTTAAGCTGAGACACGGACTTGAAACTGGATGATCCTTTCTTGGGAAAGGCACAGGTACATGCGCTCGGTGTCCTTCAGGTAGAAGGCACACTTGTGGAGCTGGGAGACAGGGTCATCGGCATCCAGCAACGCCGTCTGCTTGTCCACTTTACGGATGATCTGAGAAAGTAGTAACATGGAATAAGGCAAAACCACTCAAACTTCAAATTGTTTTTCTTAAAGATCAAATATTGTGTTTGAGCCTGCTATATAGTTCAAATGTACAACACCCATGGGTCATTCTGTTATTATTTACACATTTTAAAACGCAATAGTTATCTAAAATGATTTAAGTAAAGAAACAGACCGTAGACTACTGCTTGCAGCACTCAATGGGAGCTGACATCGTCTTAAACATCATGAATAGAGTTGGTGTTACTGATTTGTTTTGGCTAGTGTGTAAATGGCTCATACCGCGCACGCTCAAGCTGCCCTCTGCAGACAGATGCGCAGGTATCTGTGCAGACACTGCACTGTCTAAATAAAAAGTAAACATTCTTCTGTGGCTTCCTTTCCCCCCTGTTTGTCTATCTGCGACCCAGGGCAAGTATTTCATGACTCATGTTTCATGTCTCCAACGGGCCGTGATCAGTCCGCAGCAGCACGCACTTATCGCTACAATCACGCTCAAATGCGCTGACATGCACACTTTGCCTCATATGTACCTCGGGAATGATTTAATAATGTGAAACACACTCAAAAGAAACACGGATACGGTGTTTAAAATGAAATATTATTTGCTTATTATGTTACAGGACATAACAGGACACGTCATCTTTCCATTCAAGAGACAATACCATATCCCACAACATTGCCCTGTATTTACCAGTCTGGGCAGGGCCATGCCGGTGACAGAGCACACGAGCTTGACTGTCTGTCCATAGTGGATGTAACCGTCTCTCACAGTGAACTCCTCCCCCTCAGACTCCTCGTCATCCACTGCAACAACAAAGGACACAGATTAAGCAAACTACTTATATTTGCAACTTTGTGGTAAAAAATGTATAAAAATGGGTGTGTGCAGGCTCCAGCAGCCAATGCAATTTTAAGTGCTTGGTGACATCACAAAAACTGTTCTAAAACAGCCAGGTGGGCGGAGTTTGAAATGTGGAGACCTATTGGACCAATCATACTGCTCCATTTAGCAGCTCTATTTTGTGGTTGTTGGAAGAATTTGGAAGGTGTTTAGTTAAAACAGTACCACTTCTGAACTACTAAACGACACATGTGAGCACTTGTGGACTTACATAGATGGATGTAAAAGGCGCCCCACTGCTGTGAGCTGGCGTGGAAGTTCCCGCCCTCGACGTGCAGATAGCGCGTGCTGACGGTCTGGGAGCGCAGACGGTTAAACAGTGCCACTTTAGTCCCTGATGCGATGCACACTGTCAAGAGGACAAACAAGAACAATGTAATTTACACATCAGGACTAAACATGGGGAGTCAGCATTTCATTTCTAAGAGGTTAAAATCTGGAACAGTCTTTCTGAAGATGTGAGAAAGGAATTATTTTGTCTAGGCTCAAAACAGCTAATATCTGTTTGGCTGCACATACAATACGTATGACTGAAATGTTTTTATTCTGCACTCATCTTTTAATGTTAATTTTATGATGAGTTGTGTTTTAAGAACTTTCTGTTGTGATTTTAATGTCATGAAAAAGAGCGGTCATGATCAGCACTGAAATCTCTAGTTATTTTAACAGATCCATGGACACAACCTTGTCAGTGAGCACATAGGCTACAGTGTCCTCTGGTGGGCATAAGAGAAAATGCAATATAAAGACATGCGTCACAATTTTCATATTGAGGTGAATTCGGTTGCATGTTTGGTTTTGTTTAGGCACTGGTCTTCAAAACGGTCAGGAGTCAGAAATGTCAGCAAGCAGTTTGGAAGAGACAGAAGTCACGACAGGCCTTTTGATGTGTTTGAAGTTAATCTGAATTATCTTTGTTATAATGATTTACTCAGAAGAGCTCAAAACCCCACATGCATTTCCAATTTCATGTTTACAGAATTTTTCAAGCGTAGTAAACAATATACACTAGTGTTCAGTTTAGAGTAGATTTGATGACATTCTGACATTTGTTTTGGCGATACCAAATTCATTCAAACTCACTTTGATTCTAGAGAATAGGCTCGATGCTCAATACTGATTCCAGTGTCACAATGATAATAAAAACACAATGTAGGCAATAGAATAATTTTCTACATTAAATAATAGTACTTTATTATCTTATTACTATCATGAGGTTTTATATCTGTGTAATCCTACAGTAGTCCAGGTAGGTTCCATAGGGGTCCATGGACATATGTCTATCTGCTCTTACTCGTTCTGATGCAGCTCAAGGTCATTCTAAATGTTCTAAAGGATCATTCTAAAGGTTCAGCAGGTTAATTTCTATCTTATGACTTTTTTAGTATCAATACCTGTTCAAATGAGTATAGTTTCTAGTGTTAGTATCGCTAAGTATGTGATTTTTGATGTCCAAGTTGAAAACTGTATTGTCATGATAGGAGTGATATTATCATTACCATGTACAGTAATGGATGGATGGTAACTTACGGTAGGGCTGGGCGATATGGATCAAAAAATATATCTCGATATATTTTGCTATATCTCGATATACGATATATATCTCGATATATGTTCAAGAAAAAATAACCCCCTAAAACTATAAACTGCAAAAACAAATCTGTCAAATTCCACAAGGTCCTTTTTTTTAAATTGAAGTGTAAGAGGTCGACAGTTTAACATTTAAGATTACAAAAAACCCTAATTACATAAATAATAATTTAACTGTAAAATAAAAGAAATAATACATATTTTCTTCTTTTCATTCATAAATAAAACAACTCAACACAAGTTCATCTTTGCATTAACTGTTATCCAGACCATAATCATAACCATGAGCTCATTTAGCAGAAGAAGCTCAGGATGTTCCTTATTTCAATAGATCCATGTTATTATCCAGCAGTAAGGAGCTCTGAGGTTTAATCTCACAATCCACTGCAGATCAAACCCAACGTTTCCAAACACAACAACAAGTGACACTGCAGCAGATTATTAATTTAAATATTCTGCATAAATAAACTTTACATTGCTAAACTTTACAATATATAAAGCATAACGACTCTAGAGCCACATCAGCCCGTTTGCGATAATAATGTGTTTAATGCAGTTTTGCGCACGTGCGTTTACATTTTACAGAAACGAAACTTAAGTGCATGGCTCATTTGCATAAACAGCACTTCTCGTGCAGCTCAGCTCGTTTAGCTTCTTTCGGGCTAAAGGACGCGACTCGGTGGAATATGAGGATGTGCTGCTGATGTTCTTGTCTGTAAATGGTGGAAAAGGTTCGTGGTGCTTGAAGTTTTTCACTGGCACCAACTTTCGGCGTTCAGGGCGGTAGTGACGAGTGAAGGAGACACGAGCGAACAAAATCAGGGAGGCGGGGGCGCGCGGAGGTGACGAGAGAGAAGACAAACAAGTGAAGCGGCGAAATCAGAATTGAATATAAGCATTATATCGATATATACGATATGTCAGAATTCATATCGAGTTTAAAAACTATCTCGATATATTTAAAATATCGATATATCGCCCACCCCTAACTTACGGTCTGCATTCTTGAGGGACTGCTTCTTTTTGGAGGGCTTGGAGATGACTTTGATCCTCTTGCTGAGGAAGACGCCAATGTCTGCGCTGTTGCCGTAGAACATTTTCACAGACAACATGAAGTGCTTTCTCTTGTCGGAGTCGGATATGTACAAGGTTTTGGCTGTGCAATAGTTCTGGGACAAAACACAAACAACAAAATCAGATCTCAAAACTTAATTATGCAAAATTGATTCTTGTGAGCTTTTAGCCATGTTAAACTTTTGTTACCTCATCAAAAACATACCAGGAGGTGTGTTTTGTTTGAGTTTGACTAATCCTTTATTATAAGTCTGTCTACATCTGCAAATCTCATAATGCTTTGTTCCACCTTCAAGTCAGCAGCTACCTTTTACCTTTAGTTCAGTAGAATTGGGCAATTCTAGGGCTGAAATCATCCACAGGATTCTATCAAAAGTGTATAGAGTTTAAAATCACAGTGGAGCACTTCCCTATGACATCACAAAGTAGAACAGAGTGGTTTCGGTTTGAGAGAAGAACTCTGCTTAAATGTGCATTAAACATATGTGAATGAAACGAAACACAACTCCAGGTATGTTTGTGATGAGGAAACAACATTATAGCATAGATCAGAAAATAGAACAGTAAGGTCATTTAAACTCTGTAATAAAAGAGAGTTAAAGTGAGTAGTACCTTTCCCTCTAAATTGAGCTGCTGCATCTCCTGGTCGCTGTTGCCGATGCCTATGAAGGCACAGGGTTGGGACTCTTGTTCAGAGCAGCCGTCACGCTCCATCTGCTCCTTCTTTTTCTTCCAGCCGCTGCCCATTAGGTACACACAGGGAGGGGGGCAAAAGAACCTGCACAAGGGGGAAAAAAGCTCAGATTTAGTGTCCAGTATACAAAATCATACAGAAACACAATCATTTGGTACAGCATAGGGCACTATGACAACCACTATTAAATGAGCACTGTGCAACTTTTCTGGTGGAGGGCCTGCCACCTGCTTGTTTCTACGGAGATGCTTTCTCTGGAATGCCCTAAAGTACACTGGAATTACGCTATTAATGGATTTCAAACAAAAATTCTTTCCTGATTTGAAGGACTTTGTGAAGGACCTTTCCCTATTCAAAAGATATATTATTTTGATTTGAATTACTTAATTGTCATGACCACGGACCACGGTTGCCATAGCATCAAGCCCATGAATAACGCAATAGAATCATTTAGTCTGGAGAATTTGTGACAAGTCTAAAGAATCTAATTTAACAGGACAATTTTAATATCTCTGGTCATTTATTTAGTGTGTAATGTTTGGAAAAACTTGCATCATCATCTCAGACCACTGGAAATAGTCACATCACGCTGCATGTACTGCTTCACACCAGAAGAGGGCAGACTGGTATAAGGGCCAAACATATCCCTGTATGACCAAATATTGGAACTGCAGAACTCCCGCAGCTGACATCACTTCATCCTAACATAAACATTTCTTCATTTTTAAGGATTTACTGTTCTTATATCAGGCATGCATAGATCCTATACGTTTTTTTCTTTTACTTTGTGAGGAAAATTTAGCAATTAAAGGTGCACTGTGACACTTTCTGGTGGTCAGTCACCTGCTTGTCTTCATGGAGATGTTCTTGCTTGTCTAGAATGTTCCACAGAAGAGATTAAACCTATTAATCTCAAGGGAGACAACTATACGCTACATTACAGGTCAGATCTGTGGAGTGGCAACCCTTCACAGAGAGATTTTTTGCATTTTGTATTGTGTTTTTGAGCAACAGAAACACCCATAATGACTAAATGCTTGATAGATGTGTTTAATGTCATAATATGGAACATTCCAAGCAAAGCAATAGCATCTCCACGGAGTCAAGCAGGTGACGGATCCTCCACTAGAAAAGTTTTGCAATGCACATTTAAGGTATAAAAAAATGCATTTATCCATAAAGTGATGCTCTTGAGATTAATATGTGAGCGTGGAACTGGAGAGAGACCCATTGAGTGTGGGTCTGTGGGCGTGTGGTCTTTTTCCGGAGGTGAGAGTGGACAGACAGAAACGCTCATTTGCATTTGCACAGCAGCTTCACTTCTGTGCTGTTTATTACAACACACAGACATCAGAGGTGCCAGACAGAACACTTATTTTATGCCAAAAAGATAATATTGACAGAAATTCCTTTGGAACTTGCATACACTATGTAGCGGTCTATGTAGCTGTGGTATTTAGTGTAGTGTAGTTTAGCAGAAAAAAAAAACTGTCTTTACTGAAGTGACATTGTAAAAAGGCAGCAGTGATTACACGTTACATTTTAAGTTGTATTATTTGTGGCAGCAGTTCTGGAGTGAATGTGGTGACAATAGCAGTGGTAGTAGTTGCAGTTTTAGTATTAGGAATTGTAAAATAAACTGAAGTAGTCCGAGATTTGGAGAAAATGCACGAGGCAGGAAAAGTTAATTTGCCATCAGGACGAGACCCAACACCCAGACATGAACCCTAAACACATTATGACAGAGTTGTTCATTCCAGTCTAGTGCAGTCCAGTCTGGCAATGCTTCTATTGTAGGGAGTATTATACGTCTGATGATGTGGCCAAGAAAACAGCGGCCGAGCTGGCGGTGAAAGCCCTCAGTACAGCACAGAAATTTCTCAAACAGCAATAGTGGAAGAGTTGCACAATATATCGCAATCAAATCGAAATTAAAGTTGGCACAGTTATCAAAGCACAAAGGCCGGAATTGTTTATATAATAGAATGTCCTCTACAAAGAACAAAATGTCCCTTCTTCTATTAAAAAAATACTTATTGTACTAGTATTTGAAACCTCTAAATACACGTTCTGAAAATTATAGGATTCTTGTATTAATTTAGCAGTTCATATTTCAGTCTTTTCTCAAATGGTAATACTACTGAAGTTGCCTATACTTGCACTCGAAACAAAATCCTACTATTTAAACATACTGCAAATCTAAGCACAAAATACTCAGAACAATCACTGTTTTTTTCCACACGCATGTAGCCCCAAATAGAGGTAGTAATCAAATTTGTTTCATTTTATAGAATACCATGAAGTGCAAAAGGCTGTAAATAACCTGAACATTATGAGTGGTGTAATGGTGGTTTTCAGATTCTAAAATGTGATGATGTTGACACAGCTTTTCCTGTTGATAACATAGCACTATTTCCAAAAGGTAAATGCACGAACGTTGAACATGATCAGTGACTAGACCCAAGAACTTGCTGTATTACAAGAAAAATCTGCATTTGAACAATATTCATTTTAGCTGAGCCATCTGTATTAAAGGTACACTGTGTAACTTAGGTTGGGGTTCTGTCACCTGCTTGTTTCTATGCATATGTAATTGTTCTGTCTGGAATGTCCCACAGAACGATATTAAACAGATCTACATTATATTTATTCAATTAGAGGTAGTTTATAGCTTAAAAAAAAAAAAAACAGGCATTCTGACAATATTAATTTTACCTGCCCCCTTCTGATTTAAAGGTGAATTGCAAAACTTTTCTGTCCGTCACCTGCTTGACTCCATGGAGATGTTATTGCTCTGCCTGGAATGTTCCTTGATATGACATTAAACACATATATCTAGCATTTATTCGTTATTACAGGTATTTCTATTATAAACAAAAACAAAAATTCTCTCTGAACAGATCTGACCCATAACTTGTCCTGGTTTGATCTCCATGACGCTAGAAAAGTTTAATACCATACTGTGAAACATTCCAGACAAAGCAGTAAGATTTCCATAGAGACAAGCATTAGACAGGCCCTCCGCTGAAAAAGTTACGCAATGCAGCTTTCAATAGTACTGGCCTATAGAATGTTGTGATGTCATGTGAAATCCAAATCCAGCGATACAGTAACAGTAAGTGTGCCAGTCTGCTGTCCTCCTTGAACCTGCGCCGTAAACACATTGTATAACTGTACAACAAAAGCTGGACAAACCTGTAGAAGCAGGCACATGCTGCACTATTTGTACAGCAACTCAAGTGTGTCAGTCTAACTAAACATGGGAGGAATTCCACTTGCCCTCCCCACGTATCTGCCCCGGTGAGCTACAACTCTCTGAGGTGTCTCCCAACTGGCCCTGCGTTCACCGATTCACCTTCAGATAGGCCTGATGAGATTGCAAGCAGCGCTGAGCTACGCGGCCAAGAAAACAGAGGAGAAGAGATGATGGAGGAGGAGGTGACCAGGGCAGAGTGGAGTGAAGACGGTTGCCAGATAAAGGGAACAGGCCAAGAAAGATGAAGTTCCTTTCAGCACTGAACTATATTAACTATATATTATACAATTCACAGTTTCGTAAGAATAAGCGGCTCCCTGTGTTACATATTTACATACTAGGGCTGTCAAACATACTAGTATAATTATCCAGACATATTAACTGATGCTAAAACTCGTATCAAAACAAACCACTCCTTTGAACAAGTATTGACACCGACAAATAGGACAAAATTTGACCTTTCCTGAATAGTTTTAGAACGGTGTCAGTCTATATCAGAACTAGCATGATAATATTAAAGAAGCTACCATTTTTTCTGTGTTGAAATTGAGTCTGCTGTATAAAAAAGTGGTAATTGTTATTTTGTTGTAGTGTTTTCATTAGTATTGAAATAGAGTTTGTATTGTGTTGTATTTAAAATATGAGTAAAACGGGACTACTGGGTTTTGATGATATTTGTTTACATGTTTCAACTTAAAACCTAGAATAGATACAAAGACTTAGTATCTAAACCAAGAGGAAACCAGAACCTCGGCCTACACAACTGGATGTAACTAAGAAACAGCATTTGTTTGTCTGCAAGGTTCTTGGTTACAATAGGAAAAAGGCCTACGTAGCAAAAATGAAACCAGTCAGAATTACTCACTGGTTGAAATATTGCAGCATTGTACTTATGTTAAGGTACAACACTTTTTGTTCACCTAATCACAGGAATGTAACAATAACTGTTATATTTTGATATTGTATTGTTAAAAGTCTCACAATAATATCATGAGCAATAACAATATATCGAATTACAAGTCCCTTTGCTTAAATTCATTGTTATGGTGCAACAGCTAAAAAAACAGAGAGAACTACATATACCATGATCCTTTTCTCTCGGTTTCAATCCAATCTACCTGATGAAATAACAGTTAAGCACTTTAAAATCTTATTTGGATTATGATAGAAAAGTAGCATATTCACAATTTTGTTAGGCTCCACACAAAATATAACAGCAAGTATCGTACTGTGAGATATGTATCATGAAAATACTGTATTGAGGGATTTGGATATCGTTACATCTCTACTAATTCCTCTTTATTTCTGTTACAAATAGTCCAAGTTTTCCTGAATTCCTGAGTTACATATTTACATACTAGGGCTATTGAATGTACTAGTATAATTACCCAACTGATACTAAAACTCAAAACATCAAAACAAGCCACTCCTGTGAACAAGTATTGACACTGAAAAACAGTTTATTATCCTAGTCGTATTTGCTATTTTTTTTCCACATCATTATAAATAATATTGAAACAGAGTGGGTTTTGACGATATTTGTTCACATGTTTCAACTTAAAACCTAGAATAGATCCAAAGACTTAGAATCTAAACCAAGAGCAAACCAGAACCACAGCCTACACAACTGGATGCAACTAAGAAACGGCATTTGTTTGTCTGCAAGGTTCTTGGTTACAATAAGAAAAGGCCTACGTAGTAAAAATGAAACCTGTCAAAATTACTCACTGATTTAAATATTACGAGCTTGTATCTGCACTTACATCATACTTATGTTAAAGTAAAACACATTTTGGTCAGTTATAGTTTCACAATAATATCGTGTAATATCGAATTAAAAGTATAAGATGCAAGATGTAATGAAAATATCGTCGAGAGAGATTTGGACATCGTGACATCCCTACTAACTCCTTTTTTATTTCTGTTACAAATGTGCCGTGTTCTCCTGAAGCACATCTCCAGTCACTTCCCCCACTATCTGTGGAAATCTGTACTCTGCCGTGGATTCTATGACCTTCCTTTGCGAGGTGGATGGGGATTAGTGTCCAGGGCCAAGTTCTTGATATCTCACTCAAAAGCAGCTGCGTTTTGCCTTTCACTCACTCACCTTTTTTCATTGCCGTAGGATTTCTGTGCAACTTTCGCGTGCAGGATCATGACAGTTTGGTCTCCTCTTTCTTTTAGGTAATTCCGCATGGCTTCTCTGTAAATAATAATAAAAGCAAAAAGGTAGTCATTAGTAAATTTTGTGATCAGAAAATAATGTGATGATAAAAAAGGTGTTGATTGAGCTTAGGCCTGTCATGAAAAAAAATGAAAATGTGAGAAATATTACGATGTCACTGACACAATAACAATAAAGCAGGATAATCACAAAATTACGCATTCACACATTTTTACACATAAACCCCACATATTTAGGATGACTTCTTCTCTCAAATAATTTTGGCAACACAGGAAGTGCTCCAGTGTTTTTAAATTCCATACACCTTCACTAGAATCATTTGGATAGTTTCAGGGCTAGAATTGTAAATCTCTACTATACAAAAGGTAAAAGGCAGCTGTTGAAAACTACCACTTCGTGACATAACATGGTGGACAGATCACATTTTGAGCTTTGGAGATGTAGACAGAATAATAAAGGATTACTCAAACGTGTGAATGAACCAAAATCAACTCCAGGTATGTTTTGATAAGGGAAGAACATTCTAATACAGCTTAAAGCTCACAGACAATTTTGCACAATATACGACTTTCAAATCTTATCGTATTACACAATACGTTACAATATCTCCCCACTAATGCTAAGAAAATGTACACACGATAAATACTGAACACCAAAATATATTGCTCCAGCTCTCATATATTGAACTATAAAAATGATATGGTAATTATTGAGACAGGCATAGATTGAGCATAGTAAGATTAAAAGAAAACACATAGCAGATGGATTGTACACTAGCAATGACCTCTGGAAAGCTTGTGTAAGATATAAGCCAAAAAAGTCACATCTCTGCGGACTGAGCTGAACCATAAATGACCGGCTCAGAGGGACTGCGAGGTGCAAAGGGGAAGCAACGTGAGGGAGCGAGGAGGTTCAGGAGAGGGAAGGAAAGGGGGAAAGAAAACAGACGAAAAAAACTTCAGCTGAGCTCACCAGCAAAGAGTTCGCCGCTGGTGTCAGAAAAGTTGCTAAATCTGGGCTACGTCTACTCAAGTACAACTCAAGCTCTTCATAATGTCAATGGAATTATGAGTTGAATTCAAAACTAACTGTACAGAGTAAAAGGCCAATATTACACAATTTTCCAATCTGTTATAATGCCCTCATCCAAAACGTACCCGGACTTGTGTCTTGTTTCATTCACACATGTTTAACACTGAAATCCTGCATATTTAGTCTGAGTTCTTCTCTCAAATGGAAAACACTGACATCATAAGTTACACCGCATGATAACATGTGGTACTACATGAAGTTCTCCACTGTGTTTTTAAACTTCATACACCTTCATTTCAGATCATTTGGGTGCTTTCAGCCCTGGAATTTCTAAGATATACTGAACTTAAGGTAAAATGTAGCTGTTAATTTTAAAACTTACCAATTCATTACATGACAAAGTGGAATAGAGCATTTTGAACTGTGGAAATGTAGACAGACTAATAATGAAAGTTTACTCAAAAATGTGTGAATGAAACAAAACACAAGTCCAGATATGTTTTTGATGAGATAACAAGGTTGTAACATGGCTAAAAGTTTTGCATAATATGGGAACTTTAAACTGGGTGATAGACCCATACATTATTTACACGAAAAGCTAATCTGTCTATAGGTTAACTTAGTACAAGCTCTGGAAGTAAACAAAATGTAGCAAATGTATTCAGTTTTAGTTAAAAAATGTTGATCAACTCTTTTGAAACACGCATTTCTAAAAACCTACATTCTACACCGGCTTGTCAATTCTTGTCTGGATGAACACAGCTTTGGGGGGAAGACACTATGCCCTTATTTAGAGTTAGGCAAAGTTTATAGATCCACATGGGAAATTATGACACAGTAGCTCACACAAAGAAAAACAAAATTATTAGCAACTAGCAAAAATAGCAGAAAATGATTTGGCTGTGATACTCGTCTGCATCTTCAAACTGAAAATGAACATTATAGAAGTCTGTACTGTATTGGGCCATGAATTTTGAAGCATGATATATTGCTAGAGATACATACAGCCATAATATTGAAACTACTTTATGACACAATAACCTAAAAGCAGGATAATCCCAGTAAACAAATGTTTAAATACACAGTGTCATTAAAAGCCCTGAGCTGCAACACATAAATAACAGAAAGAACCAATAATTATCATAGAAGTTATTTATTTAAACTTCTGCAGCTTAAATCTTTTCTTATTACATAATTTATGCGCCGTTACAAAATACAAAACAGCTTCTCCAATTCTTTTGTGCCTTCTGCTATTAAATTGCTAAACTCGGATGGTAGTGTTCTCTGAAGTTATTTGCATTCTCATATATTGTTGTATCGAGTTCCACTTGTAAACTGCAACAGGAAATTGACTCCTGTGAGATTTAAGCAGTGATAAAATGCTGTTACCTCTTCAAAAACATGAACCTGGAGTTGTGTTTTGTTTCATTCACACATTTGAGTAATTCCCTATTGTCTATCTACATCTCCAAAGCTCAAAATGGTCTGTTCCACCTTGTGATGTCATGTAGTGGTAGTTTTCATGTTAACAGCTACCTTTTACCTTTAGTCCAGGAGAAATTTAAATCATCGAGATGATTCTAGTGAAGGTGTATGGAGTTTAAAAACACAATGGAGCACTTCTTGTATTACCACATGACATCACAAGGTGGAATTTAGAGTTTGGAGTGAAGAACTAGACTAAATATAGAAGATATGTGTGTTAAACATGTGAATGAAACAAAACACAACTCCAGGAATGTGTTTGATAAGGATATAACATTATAACAGATCAGAAAAAAGTGTAATCATGGCCCTTTAAATATTCACCGCATCAGTTTGACCAAAAAAAAAAAAATTACGAGGTCAAAGCTCGAACTCCGAAGCCTAATTAAGACACACGCCTCGTAGGCATTATCAAACTGCTGGGGCCGAGCAGAAGCACATATGCCCATGACACCTGACACGCGAGCTGTGTACGGGGCGTCCCACTCACCATGCACTCTCCCCTCCGCACGCTCATTCTGGACGGAGCCTTTGTTATGAAAAGTGTGGGGCCTCTGTGCGTGTCTGCAACGGAGGGGGGTGCAGCCGGGGGTCGGAAGAGTTTGATTTCATAACCAACTGGCTCCGATTCCTCACTTTAGACGGAGATGACACGGAAAAATGCAATTACACTGTTTAGACTTGGCATTTTTCAACCACACATCACCAGCAAAACATGAGAAGGAATGCGCAATTTTTGAATTCCAAACACTTGAGGCCATTATATAGTAACATGATAGCATCGATTCACCACATGGAGAAAATCACTTTGTTTCCCTGAGCCAAGCCTGAAAAAAGGTGCACACAATTGCACTAGTTAAAAGGAAATATGAGACACATTAAGTAAAGCACACTTGATGCTTGGCCGCTTCCTCCAGGGCTCAAGTGAAACAAGAACTTAGTGTCAGAAAAACAGAGGGCCTATTAGTGATCCCTGGGGAACTCCAGAGACATCATGAAGAGAGGAATGCACAATTTACCCCAAGTAAGAAAGTAAGTTGAATATACTGCTACAAAACAAGGACTTTCACATAAAGTTAAATCCATAATTTCACTCTGTAGGCCAACAAGACTTAGTATAAAAAGCAAAAATGAGATGGGAAGAAGGAATGATAACCAAAATATGACAATAACATCTGGTTGTTTGTGTTTGTGTGTGTGAGAAGTGAGAACTGCTCGGAGATGCTGCTAATGAAGTGCCCTATGGGATCAATAAAGTTTTCTGAATCTGAATCTATTTTTGCTCAAGTTTTTGTATATAAGCAGGATTCGGTTTCAAATTGTTCACTGATGATGCAGATGGACAGAAGGATTAAGAAGTTCCACTACTTACAATGTTTTTTATTTCCTACAGCATCCCACAACAATGTAATTTACATGTTTTAATAACTGATTCTTTGTTCTAAATTGGAATTTTAAAAGTGATGTGAGGTCTGAATAAGAGGCCTCAAGAGTGAACAAAAAGAGGAACCAACTGTCCTTCAGACCAGTCAGAGTGAAGAGGGTTTTCCACCCCTATCTTTAAACATGCTAACAAAGTTACTTCATGTATTATTTGTGATGTCCCTTTGAACTTTTGAGCCTAACTGTTGCCTTACATGACCTTTGAAATAGGCTTTGCATGTGATAACAAATGAATGCAACACACTTGAACCAAAATGCAGTATTGCTTGTCAATACAACACAAATTAAGGGACCAAATATGGTTCAGAACCACAGAATTTTGATGGGAACCCATAAAAACAAAACAGAAACATTTGCAGTACCCCCACCATTAAAAAGAAAAATTCAATAAATCAAATTTTGTGTGGACAGCAACAATTGGGCCAGATGTCTATAAAACCATGTACCATTATAGACAAAGTTTTATTTCTATGATAATTTGAAAATTGAGGGGAAATACACTGGGAATTCCCCTTACCAGTTAATATAAGAGCTACAATGCACAAAGATAGTCCTTTAAAATCTAATTTATCCTGGTGACAACTAACAGACACCACCAATTAGCAAGTGTTAAGTGTAAAGATAAATTATGTTGCAAAAACAAGCAAATCTATAAAAATTTAATAAAATACAGATGAAGAAAGAGAATGTCTAACAGAACAGGCTCACGCATGACCCACAACAAAGCCCCAGAGGTGTTAAATGCAGCTTTAACCTCTGTGTAATACAACAGCACCACTAAAAAGTGGCTAAAACCTTGTTGAGGACACTCAGGACAAATACATGTTAAGTAAAATGCATTTACTGGAAGAAAAAAAATTATTTGGCTTATGTGATATCCCAGTGTTTTTCCTCCCATTATATTGTCAGGGCACCCCGCCAACAGTGCGCACTGTCACTCAAATTATGGGGCGCTAATCACGTATCGTTAAAACAAGTGTCTTCCCTATAAATACAGGCCATATTTTCTCTCATACTTTGCCTGTCTAACTCAGTCCATTCTACAATATGATCTGGTC